TATATCAAATCTGAAGATGATTTTCTTTGGGTAAATAACTTTCTTTTATTCCCAATTTCTAAAAGTCTGGTTGACTTTAGATAAAATTTATACGTAGATAAGAACCTACTATGAGTGAATCGCACTCTGTATTTTCAATTGTTTAGATGTAAGTCTCCCGTAACTAGTACTTCTGAGATTATCCAGAATCCCATCAGAAATGCAACACTGCATAAGTTATAAAAAATATTGGAGATAGATATAGAAATAACCGGGCAATTTTAAAAATAATAGCCGCCTACAAGGCAAGCCTTACATTCATGAGTGTTTAAGTACCTATATTGAAAATATCTAGAATTGTTAATGGTTTATTATTACTGGAACTATTAATTAAAATGCGGAAATACAGTGGCTATAAAAATTTGGCATCTACCGTTAATTCAATTCAATTCGTTTCTCTTACCAGTTTTTGAGAGACAGTCAACGTTTGCAGATTTTCAATTTTTCAATAGATTGTTTGCACACACAAAATGTTAAACTTATACCACGAGCGGCCCTGGCTATTACATTATTGTATAATCATTTACCTTATACACATCAATGTGACCACAGAATATATCGAATTGATTATAGAGATTTTGTAACATATTTATCACCATCATAGGTGTAGCTGTAGAGCAAATCGATGTAAAACCAACTATATCACTGAATAACATCGTTACGTCTTCGTGTGTTTTGGCTTCTATAGATTCTCCTGTAAAAAGATAATTACATTTAACATACTCATACATTGAGTTCTATTGAAAACTATCTACCATTAGAATTTTTAAAAGTATGAGGATGAGGGACTGTTTGAGAATTATTTCGCTTGAAAGGATTTTTCCATGTCATTCATGTTTTTCCGTCCGAGTGCTATCTAATAGCGGCGTAATAAGAGTTTAAGTGCAGTTTATAAAACGAGTCATAACTATGTTTGATTTAAAAAATAGTAATTTCAGATTAGTATTGTGGGGTAGTACATTTTTTTTCAAAATGGCGTTTTCCATACATTGAAAAATAAAAAAGTTCACTCTTTTTCAACTCTTCCCCTGAACACGAATCCGAATTTTTTTATTAGACTCGAGTTATAATTAGTGTTTCAAAATGCGCTGTAATTCTTGCGTACGCCGCTACTGAACAGAGTAACCAGCGCTCCCGGAACTTAGGTATAAAGTTGTACTGTTTACTGCCGACGTTGCTAGTTGTTTTTATATCAACTACATCGTGTGAAGTTAAAAAATAATTTAGCAAATCAGATTGCTTTTGTATAATTTAGGGACTTGTTATTTTAAAGTCACCATTTTTGATATCACTGTGGTAGAAGAGCCGAACTAGTAAAAAAAATCTATTTTAAAAAAAATAAATATTTACTTGATTTATTAAATATAAACTAATATTGGTACATAGATACGTTACTAATAATTGTAACAAATTTTTATTTTAATCAACATACTGAAACTATTGAAAAATAATTTGGTGGAATCAGATTGCTTTTCTATGACAACGACGAGTTATTTTAGTCACCATATATTTTTATGTCAATGTGGACGGAGCGCCAAACATCAAAAAAATTGTTTTTAAAAACATTTCAATTTTTACATGATTTATTACGTATTAACCAATATTGGTATGTAGATACGTTATTCGAAAAATACAAGCGTTAGTGTCAATTTGTAAAAATATCTTAAAAGAAGAGGAAATTTCCTATAAAAATGTCCCAATTTCCGAATCTCCATCGTCATTATTTAATTATTTATAACTTTAATTTAATGTTGAAAATATTTTTAGCGTCGAAAGCAATGCACGTATTGCGCCGCGAAACCGACCTTAAGACAAAAAAAAGTCGGATAATTATTATTGTTTAAAAAAAAGATGCTTAAATTATTTCATTTCGTGGAGACCTTTTGACAACCATACATAACCTTATTGTGATATCTGAAATAGTTATAACTCATTAGTTACCTATTAATTAAAAATTAATAAAATGCAATTACATATTTTTCATATTCTTTTTGCGTTTCATTCCTTGGACAGAGTATATTATGATTAAAAACGAAATTCTTAAAAAAAATGTTATATTGTTTATAATCGTTTTTTTATTTTATTTATTATTTTAAATAATATATTAAAAATTCTATTCTTTCTTTCTAATTTGCAATTCCCCAGAAGATTATAGAAAAAAAATATATAAAAATTTATTTGTTTATTTACTTAACAATTTGTTATAAATAGTCGTCAAAAGTGGTGTTATTTTTTTACCTAGAAAAAAATATAACCAACCTATACATATAATTTAATTTTTTTAGATTTTTTATAGCTGTTGCGGAGTAATAGATTTGAGTATTCTAGTATTCTAATATTCTAAAGTAGAAAAAGTAGAAAAATCTTGAAAACTGTAAATTCAATTTTGACCTTAAATAACTCTTGCAACAGGAAGATAATCAGAAAATGATAAAAGACCTTTTTATAGAGCGTTCCCTACAAGAATGTCTTAGTCTTATACCTTGCCTTGACGAGTTATAAAATTCCAAATTAAAAAAAAATCCCATGTTATTTAAATAAAAAATAGAAAATCGCGATGATGCGCCTCTTAATATTAATATTAAGAACTTAAATTTTAACAAGATCATATTTTCGACATCCGAAATAATATTTTCGATGTCACTTTTGAAAAAATAATAGTCGACTTTTTTATACAGTCTAATATACAGGGCGTCTCTAAAGGGTCTGTACAACGCTCCACCAGTATAGTACTGCTCAAAATAAGTAGATTTAACTTGCTTTAGACCAGAAATAGATAATAACGGAGCTCAAAGTTGAAAAAATAAATAACGTATTCTTTAATATTTTTCGACAGCTTCGAGCTAATTTCATGAGATTTTGCATCCGGAGTTTTTTACAAATTTAAATACCTTTTTGTTGAAAACGGTTGGCTCTAGACATATTAGCAAGGTATACCCTTTTTAAGCAGAAAAGTTGGGGGAAAAGAATTTTCCAGCCTAAAGTGAAATACACCGTCGCACAAAAAAGTTTTGGCAGTTTAAATGTATCCTAATAGTCGCTTATGGCTCCATCTAGAAGATACAACGAAATCGTCGATAAATTCGAATTTCTCATCCCAAAAAACTTCTTGATACCAAATTTCACGAAATTAGCTCGAAGTAGTCGATAGATATTAAAGAAACTGTTATCTATTTTTTCAGCTTTGACACCCTACTCCGTTATTATTTTCAATTTTTGGACTATCTGATCATTATATTTTATTATATTTTATATTATATATTTATATGCACAAGATATAAAAATATGAAACTGATCGAAAATATTGATATTTTTATCTAAAGGTACAGTTACTGTGAAATCAGTGAAACGCGTTTATAAATTTTTTTGCTTTGCACCTTACCTAACCAAAGCTTTTTTGCTATATCCGGAGGAAAGATTAAATGTAGCAAGCTAACATTTTTTTCTCTTTCCTTGTCAACTGCTTTATTTCCTTCTTCAATTGAATTCTTCAGCTTATCCATTCTTCTTCTTAAACCGTCCTATAACAGAAAAAACGTAATAGTTTGATGACAAAATGTTTTATGGCACTGCCAAAGCCAAAAAATTAAAATGACATTTTAAATTAAAAAAAAGCTTCAATTTTGTGATACTCAGTTAAGTTCATGTAAAAATCTATATTACAAACTTGTATCAGATTTCATTTAATTAGGTATGTACTTTATACACTAGGAAGGAACGTTTGAAAGTCCTTACTCTTGGTTTGCTTTCTTCCATGGTTACAGTCAATTGAAAATCTTTGTTTTGCCCAATAAAATCGAGTGTATGGTAAATACTGAGCGATAGTGATTTAAAATGTACATAGATATCAAAGTTGGCTACTTTTTGGATTTTTGGCCAATTTTTGCCATTTTTTGACAATTTTCGTTTTATAACTTTTTTCTGAGTTAATTTAGGTATATGGAATGCCATATTCAAATGAAAGCTGGTTTCAAGACCTTTAAAATGGTGTCAGGTAGAAGTTTGTACAATTAAAATCAACCGAGATATGTCAATTTAACCAACGATACTTGTTCTTGTTTTTATAAAATTTTTTAAATTATTTTCGGTATTATTTTGTCTAATAAATTTATTTTTGTGAATGTGAAAGTTAAAATAAGTTTATAGGTGGTTGGATATTATTATTTATTTATTTAAACAACAGTTAATCATATATATCTTATAAATTTTCAGTTTCATTTAGTATATTTTCAGTATTAATATCAATTTCGTCGTCATCATTTTCATCAATGTCCTCTTCAGAAAAATAAGGCTCATAAGCATTCTCACAATTTACTCCCATACATTCTTTACTACATTTACATACTATTTTTTCAAGTAAATTTTCAGGCGCAGGAGATTTATTATTAAAAATGGGAAGTAGCCCATTTATGGAATTTTTCCAATCCCAATCAAGGGAACTTAAAGGACAACTATTCCACTGTTGCATATGAAAATATACTTTTAATCCATGATGTTTGAGAGCATCAGTTGTTGGAGGCAATCGAGACAAGGTAAATTTTGCACTTGTTGAATACTTTTGAAATAATTTATATCGAGTAAGTTTTTAGGCTGTCAATTTTGTGAACTATACATTATAGTTACAATGCATTCGGATGCAGCAGTGATATCCTCAACACTAGCATTTTCAAGTAAAAACACATCGAGGTAATTTTTTAATTTTGAAAAATTCTTATTTACAAAATTGAAAAATTTTTTGTAAGTAATTTTAAGTTTTTTAATTAAAAGTACAAAATTAATTAAAAGAATTCGAAATTTTACAAGATAAATATGATTAATTGTTGTTTAAATAAATAAATAATAATATTCAATCGCCTAGAAACTTATTTTAACTTTCACATTCTCAAAAATAAATTTATTAGACAAAATAATACCGAAAGTAATAAAAAAAGGGCAAAAATTGGCCAAAAATCTAAAAAGTAGCCAACTTTGATCCAATGTATCTCGGTTTCTATTAGTCGTAGGTACTTTTATAAACGCTTATTTTAAAGGAAAAAACATTAACTTCTTTTTCTGTGAAGCAATGCCTATACCTAACTCCTCAGAAAAAAGTTGTGGGCCAAAAACCAAAAAAAAAAAAACGCATGTTTTCGGGTTTTTTACTCGTTTTTTAGGCATATTTTCGTTAAAAATATTTTTTTTTTGACTTCAGAATGTCTCATTTCAATTGGAAATTCAATTTGCTACAACTTTTCTGTTGACAACTATAGTGAAAAAATGCAGTTTTCGAGTAAAACTCAAAAAACTGAAAATACCACATTTTTACTACGTTCTCAAAAACTCACCCCTTTAAAAGGTAGCACTCCGCGGTTTTATCATTTTTTAGGGTCAATTGAACATATCAAACAATAAAATTTCTGTTACGTTGTAGTTCCTTTGTACCCTCTGTTTTTTGACATAGTCAATAGCCTATATTGCCGATCAAAGCTTCCATAAATCTGTTAAATGTCAAACCAATATTACAAATATTTTCTTATTCGATACCTGTCAGTTGGATTTATCTATCGTCTTCCGGCAAGAACATCTTTTCCTCCTGACAAAAAGTAGACTCTAACCATTCTTGATTCGTATACATGCTTTTCGCCTAATTATCGTGGCAGTTTGTGGTTTACACGCTTACCATACCGTCATATAATACTAAGTGTGAAGTCAACTAGCAATAGCGACCGTACGGTAGTTTAGGTGAACAGCGGGGGTTAGCCTCCGTTGCCCTAACTTTTTTAACTTTCTTAAATATGTCCCTTGTAAGGAACGAGTCCGTTACATATTTTTATACCGTAAGTAGATCTCATCCTTAGACTACCCTTTGATTAACGTGTTTAACAGGATGCCAGTGCTGTTGGCTAATTATGAACAATTCGCTATTTAGTTTAATGTCTAGTAAAGAAAAGATTCGAGTTAGCTTCGAAAAGACGCGGTCGTACTTTTTGGATAGGGCATGGTAGTATAGGTTATATGTATATGTCATCCTTTGAATTTACGAAAATTTTTGTATAGATTATTAAAATAGAGGCCGGTATTTTAATTTCTGTATTTCTGGCAGATTTTGTGATGGTTAATAACGCGGCGGAGTGTTTCGCGTTGTGTAATGATGGATCGTGCTGAATCCATCTCATGTAATTTATAGTTAATTGGAGTCTGTTACTGGAATGTTTTTATAAAAATATTGAAAACTTACCTGTGCTCGTGCTTGTTCTCCGACTAAGATAACATCTCTGGTCGCATCATGAAGTGGAATATCAGATATGAAGAGTCCACTACCAGTGAGACCATTTAAACCATCGATAAAAGGAGACCCAATAAATAATATTGAGTCAGTCTCTTTACAATATATCATTTGACCTTTTATTTGTAAGCACTGAAAAAGAATGAAATGATATAAATACATGTCAAATGTGTAAACACTGCTGGTTTTTCTAGTAAAGAATTGTCTCTTTTATGCTAAAATTTCAAAATTGAACGAAAAAGTGTTACATCAAAGTATTGTATCTTTATAAAATATTCAACTCCGGTCAATAGTTCCCAAAACACAGCCCCACAAAAAAAAGGCTCAGTACCAGAGACGTGTTTCAATGCCATGTCAATGCTCCCTAGAATATTTTCATAAAAAATAAAGAAATTGCTAAAAATATCGTAAAATATGAGTAACTGATATATGTATAACCCCTTTTATGAAAATTGTAGCTTTTGAGAAGGTCTTTCACATCCAGTTAAAAAATGCAGGGCATTTCATTTGAAAAAAACTAAATTGTTGCCTTTGAAAGAGACATTTATAAACAGTGACCACTTCAGAAATTACGGTGAACCTAGTACATACAATGTGTGTGACAATTGCTTAGATTGTATCTCAAAAAAACGAGTATATCAGCAACGATAAAGTGTAACGCTGAAAACGTCATTTTTTATATTAAAATATTAATAACTCGGGAACGGCTGATTTTTGACACATAGTATCTATTACGAAAAAGTTGCATAATTTCATGTAAAATATAAATATCCACTCAAATACTGAGTGTTCCATTTAAAAACAATACAACTTTCGTCAGCCCTCCGAAAACGAATCACCCTGAATAAGTCAAAATAATTTTATAATGTGCATTTCCACCTGAACCTATTTTGAATTGATAAATCGACTTTGCCACAGCGTTGACCCACCCTGTAAATATTTCAAATTATTTTTATTTTACTAGTAATTAGTCATCAAAATTAACACCTAGTAACAGATGTTGAGATCGAAGAATTGCAAGAATATGGGTTTGACTGAACCTGAATTATAGGATCGATAGTACTATAATGTAAGAGTTAACAGTAGAAAAAAAGTTAGTTTTTGTTCTCTGTGGGGTGCAAAAATGGACATCTCTTGTAGACTTTGGGATATAAAAATTGTAAGTCCTGAGGATGACGTCCCGAAGAACCCGGAGCTCAGCGACGTGATACAGAGAGCGAGGCGCGAGATTGAAAATTTTCACCTATCTTTCCCAAATCTCGACGGCGCGCTCAAAACCGCGAATTCGAAAGGAAGGCGAATCCAATAAGGGAAAATGATGCCGCACCAAACGAGAGCACGCAAAAGTCAACCCGATCCATCGGCAGAAATATAACAAGTGTACTGATATCTGGCCAGAGTTTGTGCTCGCTCCAAACGTATGCTTTGTGTCCTATATTATAATTGACTACATTATTGTACCTAAAATAATCAATAAAAACAAATATATTTTTTTAAATATTCGAGTTAGATTATCTAAATCACCAAACTAGTTCATATCTCACATGAAATTTTATCGTAGTTATAATTAAATAATTAAAAATTAAATTTTATACATACATTTCTCCTCAATTGCACCTAATTCTATAAACCACTTAGTAATACCATCCCCATTATCATCCCCAGTACGTCATATAACATCGGAGAATACTTACACATTGCAAACAAATACCACTTGTGTTTAAAAGCTCTGCAAATGCAAGGACGAACTAAAAACATCTCTTTTTCCTTTTATCTTCTGGCGATTCACATTTCTATGATGGTGAGATGTACTTTGAGAGAAATATTACACTTAAGTATCTGACTTATTAATATTGGCTGCAAACTTAATTGCTTTTGCTTAGTAAACGCATTTATTTAGGTTTCGCTAATATGTGTTGCGATAATATTGCATTCGAAGCTCTGAGCAAAAAAATTCAAATTTTCGCACAACTTTCCAATCGAAACTACGAAGCCGTCCCCAACCACTATGCAGGGCTAATCCTGGCCAAAGTAGAGACCCATGTAGACGAGCGGTCCACCCCTAAAAAGATGCTTAGAAAATCAAGGTCACCAACCACGAGAAGAGGCCAGGATGAAACCTTTTGTAATCGATGCATTGAGTTATTGCGAACAAAAAACCTAAATATATTTTTATTTTGCAACTTTTTTGTTAATAACAAATTACCTGCCACTCGGACACAAAGATGTTACTTCTAACCATCTTTTTAGAGGTGGACCGCTCGTCTAATGACCCAAGTCTAAAAAGACCCAAACCACTGCTCTCCATAGAAAACAGAACACGCGGCCTGTTAAGTCCTAGTTCTAGTTCCAGGTCCCTCTTATGTTTATTACAAAATTAAAAATGTTATGTCTGACAGTAATCGAAATATTGCGGTGGGAAACAGTTTTGTGGCCACTCGATATAGGAAAGAATATATAGATATAGAAACTTACGTCTTTAAAACTTGTGTGTGGACTTGCCTCTGCAAATAAATCATGTCCAAAAGGGTTTCGTAAAGTTAATAAAAATGGCGTATTAGAGGTTTTAATTATGTCGTTGAAGGTTAAAGTAATACTTCTAGGTCGGGAAAATTCGAAGTATGTAGCCACAGAAGTACCATGTATGGGAAGTATGCGTCCAAAGAGCCGCATAAATCCGTAACCCAACTGCACAAATTCCAAATGTCGATCTACAATAAAAATTATACTTTAAGATTTAACCATAAATAAAACTCAATAAATAATTCAGAATAAATCAAGGGGCTAAGTCCCACCGTTTTCACTGTACAGGGCCGTATTGGTCGGTTGTTATAATCATATTATTTACGAAATCTTTGGTATGCTTATAACAAATTGATTTAAATCTAGTGTGGTGTTAACATTTACATGTGCATAATTTACTGCAAAATTTACAAATTTTTGTAGGTCAGTGGCGTAGGAATGGGTAATAAAGCGGAATTTTTTTACCCCAACTTCTACGCCAACCACCTAATAATCATTCGGGATTCATTTTTAGATTCCGTGGACAATTCTTCTAAAAAAGGTATACTTGTTGATAATCGGTAATATTTTCAAATCAAATCATTACTTAACCCCCTTTTCAGACTGATACTGACCGGCTGACGTCAACCGGTTATTCACAGTTTGCGCACGGCTACGATATGAATAAGGCGCCCTAGATGCCATATTTATATATTTTCGCTCATATAAAGACAGTAAATAAGCGGTTTGCGCACGTCAACCAATAATTATTTAAAATGCTATAAATTATTTTTTATAATTATGCAATCAACATATCAAATTGTTATTGTTGCCCAGCAAGAACCTTGAGGAGGTTTGACCATGCCTTGCCAAAAATAAGTTTTTATTAACATCATAATGTTAATTTTTTAATTTGCTGAAAGCCTTCGGACTTACAGCAAATGTTCAAATACATTACCGTTACCGTCTATGCACAAGTGTACACGTTGGATAGATGAGCGGCGGATGTAATGGAATAAACCAGGGTTGTTACGTATTTCTTCAGCGGCATCTTCGGTACGATTCCGCAACTGCTCTATATTCTCTACCTCGGTGTGATACACGACATATTTCATATAACCCCATATACAAAAGTCCATAGGATTTAGGTCCAGCGAACGCGCTGACCATTTTATGTGCCCTCCTCTCCCTATCCACCGATTTGGACATTGATCGTCTAAAAATCCACGGACATCGCGAACAAAATGGGCCGGAAATTCTACTAAAAATTGAAAGTAACGCGGCCCATTCAGATGGACTATTATGGCTGCAAAGAAATTAGCTCTGTTTCAATTTAAATACCTCTGCTTTATTAATTTTCTTTTAACAAAAGTTGACTTCGAGAAGTCAGGCTTGTTAAATCACTTTGCACTAAGTTAATACAATTGTTAAAATTATTTATAATAAAATGCAGCATGCTCCGTTATTTACTTGCATACGTTTAAGTCGAAACCACAGATTATGATGTGAACTTGGCAACGCTGTTCGCTTCAGCTCACGACTGATTCATGACATTACGTTACAAAATTATCCAAGCATCCGGGCATCTGGCAGGGCCGCCCTCTTAGCGGGAATTATGAGTTGATTTCCTTCATTTTTAAAAGTCGAGTAAAACATTTTCTGTCTTTAATAAGCTTTTCGAATACGTTGTTAAAATTAATGATATTATGACTGAATCACCCTGTATAAATATAAAATACTAATCTAATTGATATGAATTATTTTTCTAAAACCGTTTTAAGATTTTACAAATAATTGTCTCACAGTCAGTATATATAATTAATTTGTAAATGTTAGTGTCAATGACCTCTGACATTGACCTAGTATACGTAGAGTAGATAGGCACGCATTTAGGAAATTTAAAACAGGTAATATTAAAAAGTTACGAAATTCTAAACAAAATACAGTATGTTTCTACTATTTTTTTTCTTATTCAGTCACTTCAGCAGCCAATCGGTACTAGACATATTAAAGTAATCCAAAGCGAAATCCTGTTCTGAATGCCTACGAAAGGCAACGGAGGTTAGCCTCCGCTGTTCCGTTAAAATTCCATACTATCTGTCGCCTCTGAAGAGCCGCTATTTCCAGTCGACTTTACACCTGGATACGGATAGTTTGTGGTATCCAATGCAATGAGCGAAAAGAATATGATTCGTCGATTCATTACCCAGGAAGCATCTTTTTATGTTTTTAGGGTAGTTTTTGATAATTTAAGAAAATTGGAGGGCGATGAAGCGTATCCTTTGGCAGATTCGGTTTCCGGGGAACATCGCTTTTCCTTTGTAGGTATGCCTGTGTTGATTGGAATTCCAACACTTTTAACTATGTAATAAATTATTACTGAAATAATGACAGTATTTACCTAGAACAAAATGCCAAGGAAAAGCTTTGCAAAATGTTGGAACACTCATTTCAAGTTTACTGGTCATAGGGGTTGATATAATTTCCGGGCAGTAACTCCTACAATCTTCATTAATAATTTTTTGTATGATGTACCTATAATGATAAAACCATTTAACATGGAGATACATCAAGTTAGAGTAGTGTAACTGCGACGTTGCGACAAACTGGACTAATTCTTCTCGCTATACAAACAAAAAAGCGAGAAAGATGCTTCAAAGTTTGTCACAACGTCGGTGTTGCATTTTGTATAATTGCTCAAATAACGTAATATTTTTTACCTTACGGCGTAAATGAGTTGAATAAACTTCATAATTTTTATTTTCAAATAGAGGGTTAAGAATCAATCATACAATTTATTTCTAATTACTTAAACCTAAATGACTAATACTAAATGACATCCTTAAATTCATGATTATTCCAAACCCGAAAGTTTCAATAAATCAAGGATTTAACCCTTCCCCCTCCCCCAAATATTTAGCAATCAACTTTTTTTATCAAGACCTATCCCATTAAAATAAATCTTCAAGTTCGTGAATACCCTATATGTAGATACATACAGAGTTACAACTTTATACAGATATACTCCTATACAGATATATATATATATACTCCTATACAGATATGTTTCTTATTTTAAGAGTTACAGAAATGGTTAAATGAGCAAAAATATGTTGAATTTTATGACGATCGCGGATCTGTTTTTAAAGAAAATTTCGAATCCGAAGATATTTGAAGAAAACCGATTTTATATTTTCTTTTTTTCACTGATTTTTTCTACCAAAATTATAATTATATTCAGCATCTTGGTTATTTATTTATGAAAACCCCATAAATTATACATCGTTGTAAAGAAAATTTTCTCTTTCTTCTAATGAGGCAAAAATTCAATATAGTGTCCATAAGAAAAATAAAAGTTAACTACAGCTCAGCACATATTTTTAGAGATATGTTAATACTGTTAGCAAAAATCGATTCCTCACAACATTTAATAACAGACTACACAGTTTTGTCCAAAAATTTTGAGAAACAAGTGAAATACGACTAAAAAAGAAATAGCATAGAATCGGTTTTCATCGAATATCTTCGGAACTATTTAAAAACGCATCCGTGATCGCCATAAAATTCTGCACAGGTTTGCCCATTTAATCATTTCTGTAACTCTTAACATAAGAAAGATACATGTATAAGACAAGTAAAAAGTTGTAACCCTGTGGGGATGCTTATTCACCCCTTCTGAAATCTAGGGTATGTAATAAAATTAAAAATTCAATACCTCCAATAGTGAATGGACTATACAGGATTGGAGGTATTTTCAACTTCCGGCTCCCAGCGGAAGTGGCCTATTCTGACCGGAAGCCAGTTTTTTTTTAAATCGAATGGCATACTTTTCGGTTCTACGCGGAAAGCTATGAAACTTATGTAAAAATAATTTTTTTCTACATCGTGGTTTTCCACCCCAAAATGCCTTTCGAAATGTAAGTGTTCGCCTGAAAGTGACACAAAGAAATGAAGCTCAATACTGTACTACCAGGTGACCTAAATATGTACATTAACGAGGTTGTCTCTACTGTAAAAATTTGTTAAATTAATGGCTTTCGACTTTATATTTATTTTATACTCTGTGGTTTAACTGCTTCGGCTGCGAGAGTTGCACTTTCAGATAAAGCCACCGAGATCTCCGGATCTCAACCCGTTGGACTTTTTCATGTGGAGAGATGCGAAAACATTTACTATTCAATGGGAACGCCTTATTGCAGGGGCCAACTAACTGAGAAGATTCATATAACGTTTGATAAAGTGAAAAACAATATAATTTACCCTTTATTCAAACCCTGATATTTCAAAAACCATTCGGAATTCGGAAAAAGTGAATAGAACCATTTTTGCTTAAAATTAGTCATATAATTCATATACTAAGTATCTGCTTTATATTTTATAGCATAAATAAATAGCTCTTCTAAAGACGTACCTATTCAGCGATATAAGGTTATACCATAGACAAAATAGACTGAACTGTAGAGGCAAGCCGGTGAAGCCTACCGTCAGCCAAACCTCGGCCCTGCCAGCCTCGCGCTTTCAGTCGCTGTTAGACATTCGCTGTGTCAACATTGCTACTATTTTATTAAATATATTGTTTTCCTTTGTGCAATCATGGGACAGTGTATCGTTGACGATTGTAGTAGCAGATTTGTTCGCAATAGTAATGAAATTTCATTCTTTAGGTAAGTAATAATATAAAAATATTTTATAACATTTCGACGGCGTCGCGCAGCATTCTCCATCTCACATGCACTTATTTCCAGTGTTGGCTTCATGTTTTTAGTGCCCACGTTATTAACTGATGTAAATATACAGGCTCATATTATCAACCGGCTATTTACAATTAGTTTTTTGTCACAATTGGTGTTTATTTTCATGATGGGTATTAAAAATAATTGTAAATATTGAACCCTCAACCTATAATTTCGATAATAAACATACGTTAATGTTAAATTACAGGTGATTATTACTGAATAAAATTGTATTATTTACCCATTTTCTTGTGTTAGAATGTTGTGTTTCATGTGTTAGAACTTATTAGAGCTATTTGCGAAAAATATGTAGATGTAAGAATAAATCACGAAACAAAAATATTTAACTCTCTAAAAGCTACAAAACGACGTGTACTTAATAAAGTTACAATATTTAAAGGCCAAAAAAGATTTTAAAGTAATATTAGAATTTTATTTTTTATCCAAATTTTAAAAATCTTAATAATAGCTTTAGCAATTTTAATGTTTATATTCGTATATTAAAAATATATGCCGTTACATTTTGCATTAGTTAAACTAATTTTATCATTATGTTTCAGAAAAATGACAATTTAAGAAATAGAAAAAATAATAATATATTTTCTTAATAGCTCCTATAAAAACGGTACACTCAAGCTACAGAATTAAAAAACTTTTTGAATGTAAACTTATTTAAAAAATATGAATAAGAACTTGTGAGGACTGTATGTGAAAAGTATATCGATGTGATAATAAATCATGAAGTTAAAATATTTAATTCAGTGAAATCTACTAAGACAAATATTAAATAAATTAGTACTACTTAATGGACAATAAATATATTCAAATTATTTTGTAGGTTTATTTAATATAAGCAGGACGAATTACGTATATTATTTTCTGAACTTGAAAAATAACTATTTGTCATAAGTATAAAAATATTGCCTTAATCCGAACCTGCTCAAAGTATGCGCGCTCAGATTACTTCACACACTCCACTTCCCCGCAGTTTGGCTTCATCGGTTCCCGTGCTTTGGGATCGGAAACGTACACTCTAGGTGCGATGTGGGTTATACCTACTTTTTTGTCATAGTTGTCAAGAAAATGTAAAAAAAATGTCTTTTATATCGTACTGACGACTATTTCAAACAATCATAGTATCCTCTGTGCTTTAAAAAATGTACCTACTCTTTATTAATCTTTTTCTACTTACTTTAAAGTTTTTTTTTTCTCAAAAAAAAACATCGATAAACACATAAAATTCACCAGAGTATCTTAGGTACAACGTAAATCGGTTTAGTTCCAATTTATTCGTTGTTAAATTATTTTGGAAAATGGTTGCCCGTTTAAGCGAAAAGAGAGAATTAAAATTTTAATTATGATTAAGCGGAGATAAAAGCCGCACCGTAAGTATCCAGACCAGAGAATTAGTCGAGCTACAATAAGTAAAGCATCCAAAAAGTTTGAAGAAAATGGAAGTATAAAGGAAGATTTACCTGGATCAGGAAGGCGAAGAACGATAAACGAAAATGACCGTCAAAATGTGATGCTCGCCGTTACTGAAAATACTCACTTATTCATTAGAGGAAATTAGAAATTTATTTGAAAGACAACCCAACATAAAAAATCACATAATTTTCACTGACGAACCAAGTTTTTGCTTAAACGGAACCGCGAACAGACAAAATACTAGGTTTTGGAGCCCAGAAAATCCGCATTGAATCCAAGAAAAACATATACAACGGCCGCAAAAAGTGAATGTTTGGGCTGGAATACTAGGAAATCGCATACTGGGACCTTATTTCTTTGTGGGCAATTGACAGGCGACATTTATTTGCGATTTTTTTTCATTTTCAGCTGATTCCAGCCCTGGAATAAATGGCTAGTGATGTCTGGTTCCATCAATATGATACCCCTCCACATTTTCGCCTCGATGTAAAAAATTAACTTAATGAAGTTTACCCAAATCGATGGAAAGGCAAAAGAGGGCCGCTTGAATGGCCACCACTCTCCCTTGACTTAATTCCACTAGATTTTTTTGTGGGGTTATCTAAAAAGCAAAGTGTATGTGAACAGACCAGACACTATCGAAGGATTGAAAAATCGTATCAAAGCAGAAGTTCGATACATAACACCAAATGTTATTCAAAATGTAATTGATAATTGAACACCGAATTGGGAAGTGTGCAATGGTTAGAGGGCCACTTTGAACATTTGCTGCAATAAAATAAAAAGTAGTACTAATAAATTATTGTTTTCATTTAATTCCTACATTTTTTGATAACTATGACAAAAAGTAGGTATAACCTTATATCGCTGAATTCGTCTTTAGAAGGGCTATCTATTTATAGGTACTATAAAATATAGAGCGTCCTATTTAAAAAAATGTCGGTAATGTTATAGGTCTGTCAAACATGGCCCAAAAAATAGAAAATATAGCAGAAAAGTGACATTTTCTAGTTACTAATTGATCTGTTTCAGCGTTTTTTTTTTAATTTAAACGGGCAAAAAAAATATAATTTTGTTCCATCATTTTGGGACACAGTGGGATACATCAACTACTCGCACTCACCTAAAACTCCTTCCGTCTTTTCTACTTTGAGTTACTGCCACATCCACGTCTGTTGAATATAAAATTTTGGCAACAGCTTTTAGAATTCCAACCATTAAAAAAGACATCGAAATTTTGTCCGTTGTGAAATCTAGTTGTATATATTTTTCACTGGTATAAGTGCACACAAATGTTTCAATTTGTTGATCTTCTTCTTGATTGATGTCTTTACTTTTTAATACGTCGTGTACACCATCAAGTGTTGTCAGAAATTCTTTTAAATTACTTCCTAGGCACATAAATGCTGCTTCTAATCTTCCTGTACATGTTGTTACAATTAATTCTTGGCCTAATCTGTCTAAGAATTCAATTTCATTGACATCTAAAACACGAAAAAGATACATTTATGGGTTTAAAAGTATATTTAATAAAGTATTTTAATGATTTTTGTTTGTATACACCGTGTCCATCTAGTCCAATATCTCGGTTAATAAAAGATATAGGTAACTTATTTTTTTTCTACAGAGTTGCCTACTTTCCCGAGCTGCATAAAATGAAAATATATTTGTATATACAGGGTGTTCAGTTTTTCCTGGGCAGGTACCAACTTAATTTTTTTAATTGGAAACCTATATTTTTATGGCATTATCGAATACTACGTGAAAAATTAACGGGTCTGTGTTATGATTCCTATTAAAATATTGATAGTTTTCGAGATAATCGACATTTCATTTTTTTTTCTTATGTTTCGTCACTTCTAGTAGTTGACATAATTATGATTGTATGACAGCTAGAAATTGACTCTTTCAAACAACGTATCAAAAGTTGACCTGCGATATACAGGGGGCAACAAAAGTTGTGCCAAACATGATAATTTAAAATTTGAAAAATCTCGACTTTTTCAAATAGAACACCCTGTTTTATAATGTGATTAAATGTCTTTCTGTAGACCCTATAATTCTTCAATAGCTTTCCCTATACCTAAGTTGTTTTTGCAAAAAAAACATTTTTATGTAAAATACCGGATTTGCGCCCGTTCCCTTGTTGGGAAAAATATTGTAAGGGTATTTATTTTAAGTTAGCTTGCGACTATGAGTATTCTTTTTTCAAAATTCTATTCATCCAAATTTTTTAATCTTCAATATCACTAATAACTTTCCTAACTACGGTAACAGTGCTTGATTTTCAATATAATACGGATGAAACTTCTTCAATATTTTATTTGTCAAGCTTTTGAAAACTCCAAGGTTACTACTAATTACCTGGCACTAAAATTTGGATTTTCAACAGCAGACGCCACAACTTTAAACCATAAGAGTAAATAAATAAGAGGCTTTTTTTCCTTGTCTTCTGCTGGCAGCAGCGGCAGAGTACGCCATCTGTAGCTGATGTGTAGTGAAACGACACACAGACCATAAAATAATTAAGGAAACTGCATGGGAAAACACAATTAGAGTAACCTCTAATTCTACTATCTAATAGATGTCGCTGCATTATAATGGCGGTAAATCTAAACGTAATAAAATACACAGAATAAAAAGTATTTCATAAGTAATACTTGGTTAACTTAACACTTGGTTAAAATAATATTGCACAGTTACTTGCCAAAAATTATGACTAAATACATTTGTTTCGAACTAATTGGTTCTCGATGTACTCCTGGTTTCTTTTGTATGTGGGAATTGAAGTACTCGTAGTATACGTAGGAAAAAATCAGTAGGATCGTAGACATATGTATGTGTAGACATGTATCTATCATCACTTGTGGACGTAGTGGACGTAGTATCGTAGGATAAAATCAGTAGGATCGTGGACATATGTATCTAGCACCACTTGTGGAAATAAAATCAAAATGTAAGTATTTACTTTAATTTTGCATAAATAAATGTTAAAACGGCTATTACTTAAATGATAAGAAAAATCCTTTTTGTGAATAAATAGATAATATATCCAGTAATAATTATATACCTACTGTAAAATAAAATTAAATATCCTTTAAATAAATAAACAAACATAAACTCTTTAAAAAACAATACTATTAAAAGAAAATAGTAGTGTAAAAGTAAAAAATACTTTTTAAAATAAATAAAATAACCTCTTAATAAAATTAACAGTTTTAAAAATTCTTAAAAAACAAAACTAAATTAACAAAAATAACTGCCCAAAAAAAAAACTTAAATAGGGACGGATTAGTTAGGTACAGAACCTTTCTTAAAAGGTGAGCGCATTAATAAAATTGTTTCATGTTGTTAAAATAATGAATACTGAAAATGTACATATAAAAAATAATTTCACTTAATTTTCCTCTGAACTGCCTTTCTGCGAGTTTGGTTTTTAAAATTACGATGTATGTCATCAAAATGCTTTCGAATGATTAACAATGACGATGTATCTAACAACTGAGCTTTAACTTGATCGAAGTGTAAGGAACATGAAAACCATGAAAAATCTATTTTACATAATATTGGTGAAATTGTTCTTCCTAATAATGTAATGTAGCCAAAAGAATTTAAAAGTTTTATTACTGTATCATGTATATTAATAATGTAAATTGCCAAATTACGAGTAACATAGTTTAGTCGACGGGCATCATCAAATTCTTTAAACATGGTTAAAATATGATGTGGTTCTAAATTTTCGGTTAATAAGGAATTTTTACAACTACACTCGGACAATTTATTTTTTTTTACTAAATACCCACAAACATATGCTACAGCTTGACTATCAAAATTTGAATCAGAAATGTCTGATTCTAAAACAACCGGAATAACAAAATTTTCAAATTCTTCAATACTGTCATTATCATCTACAGTGTTTATATTATCATTTTCAAAAAAATTGTGAAGGTTTTCCAAAAGTGATGCTCCGTCTTCCTCACAATTTGAACCTCTATCTGGTTATTTACTAAATTATTAACTATACATGTTTTTAATGAAGAAATAAATTGTAATGGTGTTGGGTTGTCACTGAATCCCCTACACTGTCGAACAGCACTAAATAAATTTTCTATGGGGTCTTGATTTAAATATCGAGTTCTTAAGTATGTAAAGTTCTTAAGTAAAACCATACATCTCCGAACATTTTTTCCAAATTTGTTGAACTTCTTTAATAGTAAAAATCCAACCAGATTTTACGGGATGTACATTTTTTACTTTGTTGTCTTTATGAGACTGAAATTGCCAAAACTGAATTTTTTCCAACATATCATTCCAAAATGTAATATGTGCTGATTTCTTGGTAATACATGACTTTGAAGAACTGCAATTATTTAGCTGAATGATACGAGAATTTAACCTACCAAAAAGATCATTAATATCATTCGCAAACTCTGTTGTATGAATAGCCTCAGCAGGTATGCCAATACTAGGATTACTCACCATTGCCTCAATTTCATGAGCTACAGATGCACTTAATTTTTGTGCTGTAATTTTTACTTTCATTTTAACATTACCACGATTTAATTCGAAATAATGGTCATGTATCTTTCGTAAACCTTGGAAGCGTCTAGATTTATCAATTTCATAACATTTTACTATGTGGCTGAATTTTGCTGTTTTATTATGCGAAAATTTTATATTATTGTTATATAAAGCATTTCTGGTATTTTTAAGCAAATGAGGAACGTCAAAAATGGGAATAATTTCCTCGCCATTAACATTAAAAGTGGATTTATTTGATGACTCAGAAACTAACTGTCTGATAGCTGATCTGTTAGTGGAACCTTGATCACAAACTGTACAAATTATTTTTAATCCACAAGACTGCAATGCTGAAATTATTTCAATTAACAAAATTTTTAGGTCCTTTGTTTTTATAACGTCTTTAGTGAAATAAAACGCGATAGGTTGCTTCCAATGTTTACTAATACCTTGTACCAAAAACACTAGAGCATAATTTGCTACCTCATTTTGTCTACCCAGGGACCCAAGATCGACATATCCCGTTACTTGATCTTTACAAGTGTCATAATTTAGACCAACAGACAGAGTTATTTCATCAAATACTAAACAACAAACTTTATCTCTTGTAATCATTTTACTAACACGTTCTGATAATTTAGGTAACAACTTTTCATTTATCCTAACATTTAAAGGTATTTGGCCTAAATATTTCCTTATGGAAGATTTAGAGGGCAGCACAAAAAATTTCTGTAAATACCTGTAGCACCTTGGCCCACGTTTGTAAATCGCTAAAGCAAATGCTTTATTTTCTGAATTATAAATAGGTTGTTTTTTTCGCAATTTTTAATTTGTGACTCAATAAATTTTACTCCAACTGAATCAAGATGTCGACTTAATTTTGCAAATAAATTAGAATAGGCGATACTACAAACATGAGCCAAATTACTTTTACATTTTAAGTTTCCTTTTTAATTTCAAAATCTGAATTTTCTGTTGACGATCTAGATAATAAATTTTTTTATATTTATCTGAAAGTTGATATTCTCTTAACATTCATAGTTTTTAAAAATGTTCTTTGTTTATTATTTGACTGAAAAGGTGTGCTGCTTTGACAAAATGAGGTATCAAGTGAGGTACTTACATGACCAGTATTTGATTCCGCTTCATTCAACTTGCTATCAGTAATCTCAGTAATGGTCCTGGTGTTCGCAGTAGCGCTTGTAGGAAATAACAATTTTGAATACGTGTATTTCGGTTTTTTAAAAGGTGGAGGTGAAAAATCATCCGAAATTGAAGTTTGGCAGCTCGTACTCTGAAAATTCTGTAATGTTACGTTAACAAATTGTTTTGCTGAATATTGGATACTATCCGAGGATTCCAAGGTGACATTATTACAATTAATAGGTGAACTTGTAGTTGATCTTAAAAATAATGTCGGCACAGCATTTATGTTGAGACTATTCCTACAACTGTTTTTAAAACATTTTAACTCAAAATGGTCTTCACAAAAATAATGATCTGTGTTTGTCGGAGCAAAGTCTGATTTACAACATTTTCGAATTGATTCTATCCACAGTAATTGTCTGTCTTTTGTAATTTTGAAAAAACTTTTATTTCTATAGGACGCATTATAGACATTCATATAGTAAGTGCTTTTGCAATTTGGAGCACAACATTTACGTGTAGTTCTTCCAGTAGGTAAACTCATTTTGAATAAAAAAAGAATAAAAATACAGTAAGGCAGTTCAGATGACTAATTCAATAAATCTCTTATTACATTAATATAAAACAAAACAAATTTATTAATGCACAAAACGCGGCAACCTACCTGAACTGAAGATAAACTATAACCTCAAACCTCCAACATTCTACATTGATTGAAATATTTCAGTCAACGCATTCTGTTTCTGTTGATTGAAAGCTTGGAAATACAGATTCGATCTGTGGTTGCAGATTTCTGTTTAACAATTTCCGTAAAGGACAATTTTAGCTACAACAACGTGAGATGGCCTCAGTGAATGCATGTTCAATCCGCCCTATCCAATAAAAGCCTCTTATTTATTTACTCTTATGCTTTAAACTAAATATTATCGTTGTTACTTTTATGTCTCCTGGTAGTTTTCTCATAATTCGTATTTGCTGTTCATTCAAACCTTTCCTTGACATTTTCAAAACGGTGGGAATTTCTGTAAATTTGGATTATTTGCTTTGTAAATACGTGCTGCTAGCAAACAGTTCCCATATTTTACTATAGTAGGATCGCATTCGATGCAAAGTAAAGCAAAAAGTTGTCGGTCTTTTATCAAATTCAAATTTAAAATGAAATTCAATGTAAAATCTGAAATACCGCTGCACACACACTATGTTCTGGTAGTAGCTGTAGTCGCCCAGGTGCATCGAGTGTACGAACTGGTCGGTTATACGTCAAATATTAATCTGGCGAGCTTTGCCGTCAATTAGAGAGCGCTTCCAAAAAACAAGTAAACAACAGTGGCGCGTACAGAGGTAAAATGGAGTACATATGTGGAATTTAGGAAACAAATTGGATTTATAATAAATTACATTTAAAATAAATAGTTTATGAGAATAAAGGAATTTTTGTAGGAACAAGGGTGCCAGACCTGAACTGATCCCCTCGTCCCTTCATACTGTATAAAGAAATTATTCAATTTGTAAAACCCTTAAAAGCATATTTCATTGGTTCCCTTGACAGGCAATGATTTATTACTTTGCATCGAATATGATCCTACTATAATTCTTAATCACTTGTAGCGATTTTATGGTTTTTTGATTTTATTTACAAATAAATGGTACTTTCCATAAAGATTTATTTATTAAACACAAATATCTAAATTTTTCAGTTATTAATTTTTATTTTAAATAGTGTAGCTAGACAACTAATAAATTTAATAAAAATAAATACCCTTACAATATTTTTCCCGACAAAGGTACGGGCGCAAATCCGGTATTTTACATAAAAATGTTTTTTTTGCAAAAACTACGCAACTTAGGTATATGGAAAGCTATTAAAAAATTGTAGGGTCTACAGAAAGGCATCTAATGAAATCATAAAACACAGGGTGTTCTATTTGAAAAAGTCGAGATTTTTCAAATTTTAAATTATCATGTTTGGCACGACTTTTTTTGCCCCCTGTATATCGCAGGTCAACTTTTGATACGTTTTTTGAAAGAGCCATCTTCACTCTACCGTTCCTGAAAAAAAAATAATTTCTAGCTGTCATACAATCATAATTATGTCAACTACTAGAAGTGACGAAACATAAGAAAAAAAATGAAAAGTCCATTATCTCAAAAACTATCAATATTTTAATAGGGATCATAACACAAAGTCCCGTTAATTTTTCACGTAGAATTAAATATAGGTTTCCATTTAAAAAAATTAAGTTGGTACCTGCCCAGGAAAAACTGAGCACCCTGTATATGCAAATATATTTTCATTTTGTGCAGCTCGGGAAAGTAGGCAACTCTGTAGAAAAAAATTAAGTAATATCTTTTATTAATCTAGATATGTGACTTACGCGCACTAGGTGGACATGGTGTATATAACAACTAAAAGTAGACCTATTTAAAGTACCATGGTTTTTGGTTTTTCAAGTTGTTATACCTGCGGCCTATGTACATGGTAGCCGCAAGTTACAGAATTACCTTTCATTTCCTTAGTCTTGAATAATAATCTTTGAACTGTTCTTGCTATGGCTATGTAGAGGAGAACCACCTATCAGAACCCTTAGCCCCGATCTAATATTGATTTCAGTTTTTATTGTTGGGTCTATGATCGCTACGGACGGAACTAATATCTATATTATCCATTATTCACAAACGCTCGCATGTGGTATGAAAGTGGGCGTTTAAAAGTTTGAGGAGTACATAATAAATACACATATTCTTTGCATAAATTTATACGTATGCACAAAATACTTTTCCATTAAGCGAATATAATTAAGTTCTTTGCGCCACTCTCTATAGGGCTATTTTTAGAAGAAGCTCAGGAGTTCCGAAATATGGACTTCACACGGTATTCAGTAAACGAAAATGTAGCAGGATTTTCAATGATTTATTGCACATATTATTAATCTCATCAGCCCCAAACATATCTACATATTTTCAGGGAAAAACCGGCAACCACAAAGCTTATCATCAACTCTGAAGCAAAGAACCTAAGTCATATCGTAATGTCAGTCCTTTTGAGAGCTAAATGATGTACGAATTCAGCAACCTCCTCGTGGTGCACATGAGTAAAGTTACGTTAATACATAATTATTCCAAGATCGGTAGAAATAATCTAGAAGCTCTCATTTTGCTTGGATTGAATTTTCAAAATTTAAATCTTAGGGTGTAGTCTTAATGTATCCAAAGACTGGAGTTCCTGCAATTCATGGAATTGTTGCAACGGAAATGGAGTTTATAGTGTCATAAAGTTATCAGGTTATACGGTTTTCGAGTTATATAGGGTTATATAGTTATATAGGGTTAATGCGGTGTATATGTTATGAGGTATATGGATTATGGGGTTCATAGGATAATGAGAATTATGTGGTCGAGATACATGGTTTCAGGCTTGAAGGTTCTCTTCCAAATTCAAGTATTTAATAAAAAATCGTCGCAATCGGTTGAAATTTGTGGTTTGTAGTGAATTTGGAAACAATGTACAGCAGATTTCCCAGCGCCGATTCCTTTATTTATTTTGTAAGAAAACTATGATGCTCCATTCCGCTGGACATATTTGTATTACCATAATTATAGTAACTTAAGCTTCATTCACATAGTATTAGTGCGATTAGTACTGTAGAAAAGTTCTTAACATGCATTGCAAATAGGGACGTTCAGATAAACTTCACAATAACGCCGTTGTACTGCAGTTGGTTGGTACGGCAGAAGCTAGAAGCGTGTTAGCATTTACCAATCCGTTACCAACAGTAATAGAAGGACCAATAAGACAACAGCATTTTTGACAGAACACCACAAAACATACAATACTGTAAATAATACTAATTTTTTGTAAACAGAGTAGATAATATTTATATCATACTACGAGTAGTACAGTACAATGCAACAGTACAACTGCAGTGCCATTGCACTAACGTTTATCTGAACGTTACTTTAGGTACTTCACGTTAAGTGTAACTCGAAGTAATTTGGGATTACAGATTTGTAGGTATAGATTTAAATAGTTTCTTACATCCGTCACTAATTTGGGGAACACTATACATATTTTAAAAACCAATTTAAAACATAAAAGACTCATTTAAAATATGAAACAAATTTTTGCTTACCACTTTCTGTTTTAAGTATGTCAAATAAGTCATCCAAATAAGCATAATGAGAGATGTTGCTAATATTTCTAGGAAGTTGGTTCCTGAAATAGAAATACACATACTTATTCACAATTTACAGCTATATTGACATTAAAAATATAATACATATATGTACAGGGTGTTGCATAAGTGTGTACAAAAAATTCAGGATTACATTCCTTGGAAAATTGTAAAGAGGCTATTTCATACATTTTTTTTTAGTCGAAGCCTCCCCTAAAAAGTGAGTCTATTAAATGGGGATGGCGTAAACTGATTTATTAAATTTAAAAAAGCAGTAAATAATAATGTATAATTTAAAATAATGTTAGTAGAAATGATATTAACTATACAAGTTATTCAAAATAGCCTCCGTTTTGAAGAAACATTCATTCACTCCTTTCAAGAAATGAAAAAGTGTACATTTCTTCCAAAAAAATATTTTCTTCTCAAACACTAAGAATACAAAATATTTCTAAAAGACAAAAAAATTTCTAAACAAAATATTTTTTTGCTTGCAAAATCTGAATGAATAAAAAAGTTGTTTATAAAAAAGCGTGGAAGGGGTGGTTTATTTCACCCCCTAGCAAACCTAGGAAATGAAAAATTTTCCGGTAAAATATGATTTATAACCATTATAATTATTCCAATTTTCATTTACTTATATTCAACAGTTTGAGTGTCAGTGTACACCATCCCCCTTTAACGGACTGTAACTCTACTCTACAGTACTATTAGATCGCGTCCAGAGCAAATGCCAATAATCACGTTGAAATCGAAGTAGTTGAGATGGAATAGTTTGTGGAACATCAGTGGAGTATAGAGCTATTGGCGAAGAACCACTATAAAAAAGCTAATGCGCCTCATTCGGAACTTCATTAGGTGGTGTGGAAGACCGGAATCCTCATTTTTAAATCGCGTTTTGAACACAGAAAAGGGGGATATATATACATATAGTACTTTTTCACTCCAACACACCTCCACGCATGCATGTCTCCATAATCGGTCACTGAACACGCTCTTTTTTGATAAAAATAACCTGACTCCTGAAAACCCAGGTGCCGACCTTGTATGCGCCGTAGCACAAAATCCTAACGGTAGATTTTTTTGTGCCCATTAGCTTTTTTGTTCAGGATGTTGACTACCTTTTCCACCAAAAATTAGACCTACCGACTGAAACCACTTTTCCATATAAAAAGTTCGGGGTCTTTTGGTTTCTGGACTTAAAATAACGCGTAGAATCAGATGGAGGTACCGATTTTATACAGAGAGTTCCATTTCTCAGGAAATCGATTTACTTTCGATTTTTTACGGTGTCTTATTTTTTTTATTTTATTGTTTTTTTTTTACATTTGCTCCCTTCCCCATATATGTCAAGAGCTCCATGGTTCGACAAGGACGTTTTCAAACTATTAATTCCGCTTTCCGATATAAAATTTTCACTAATAAATTAAGTGCAGAAGGATGAAGATAATCTCAGGCGAGTCGAATCCGAGTTGCTTGACAATTTTATAGAAAACTAATGTAATTCTCTTTCTAATACGCAATCAACGAAAACAAAAAGGAAAAGAAAATTTGAGACATTAGGAACGGTTCTTTCTAATAAAACTTGTTTCCTGTGTTCAAATATTCATCCATTGTCCGAAATTTTAAACTCTAACGCCTAACGAACGTTTTGAGATGGTAAAAAATCATAGTCTGTGATAATTGTCTAAGCAATATTCACAAAACGTTATGTTGCAATTCTTCATTAATTTGCCTCATTTTAAAAATGCCCCTGTCAATACAAAAAGGCATATTTCTAATAACTCAACGGATACTTTACTTAATAACGCTCAGCCTCAGCCAGTATACAGATTTATCCTTGTCTTCTAGGTCGCAACCAAGTCTTAGTTGTTCTCTGACTACTGGTAGGTACTTCTTGTAATTATAAAACTGTCGCGGAAACATTCAAAAGGTCCGAGCTCTTAAATACTGGTTCATAAATAAGTTTTATTATTGTAAAATGTGTTAATCGTTTGGGTTTACGAAAACAAAAAATTATGCAGTGAAATACAAGGGATTATTGATCACAAGTATAATTTTTCTATTAACGATATTATTGTTTTACCCCAAAATTTGTAGTGATCAACCGAGTAATTCTTTATCACCCAGCAGTTGGGAACATGTTAAACATTTAAATCTGGCTGATCTTAATTTTGATAAGCCAGGATCTATTGATGTAGTGATAGGTGCTGATATATTTCCATATATTATACAGGGTGGTCGTGTAGTCGGCGCGGCGGAGAGAACGAACCTATTGTTTTAAATACTATTTTTGGGTACATATTAATAGGAAAAGTAAATTATAATCAATCTACTAATTCTAATTTTCAGAATTATGTTTGTCAGATCGATAATGAATATTAAAAAAAAATAGGAACATTTTGGAATATTGAAAATCTTCTAAAAAATATTTCGCTCCAGAAGACGAACAATGTGAAAATTTATTAATAAATCCTGTTACTCATCTACTGAACATTCGTATTATATTCCACAGCACTGTGTATTAAAACCGGACAGTGCAACTACGAAGTTACGAGTTCTTTTTAACGCTTCCGCAAAAAGTAATGATTTTCGCTTAACGACACTTTACTTATTGGTCCAAAATTACAAAAGGAAATATCTCAATTGCTATTAAATTTGCATAATATGTACAGGCAGATACTAATTTCTCCTAAGCACTGAGCATCAAAATTTTCAGCTTATACTTTGTCGATATGGTATAAATAGTCCGGTTTCCGAATTTCGTTTGCGCACTGTAACTTATGGAGTTTTCTCAGCTCCTTATCTCGCTCTTCGCACTTTGTTATTTTTAGCTGAAAAAGAAAAGGATAATTTTCCTAACGCTGCCAAAGTTATAATTGACTATACTTATATGTCGATGACATATTTACAGGATCTTCCACTATGGAAGAAGCACTCGCAAATGAACTGACGCAATTATTACGTAAAGGCGGTTTTGAATTGCATAAATGGACTAGTAACAATTATATTATCTCATTTAAATACTACGGTTGCCAACACCCCTTCAATTTCTCTTGATTCTGATGATACTACAAAAGTTTTAGGTTTACTTTGGATTCCGTCATCAGATACACACACATTTAATGTCAAGCAAAGCCTTGTGTGTATAAAACGTAATGTACTTTTCGACCCCGCGCGAATTTTAGATCCCCTGGGAATTTTAAGCCCAATTACGTTTTTTATAAAATATTTAATGCAACAGTTGCTAGGATTTGACTGGGATGATCAAGTATGTGACAATCTCTTAAATAACTGGATAGGTACGCTATAAAAAAGAATTGCCTTTATTATCTAAGTTTAATTTATCACGCCATATAAATATGTTTTTCGCCAACTCTGGAACTTCAATTATTAGCAGATCCCAGTATCAGAGGGTATGCACTGTAGCTTATTTAAAATCAACTCAAAATTGTAAATCATATATATTTTGTTTGTGCTAAAGCGTGAGTGCTCCTTTAAATAATATTTCAATTCCTCGTTTAGAACTTTGTGCCGCTTTACTATTATCTGATTTATACGAGTATAGGTATTATACAAACTTAACATCTTTCGTTAAGTTTATGCGTATAGTAGTGATAGTGCTGCTGGATAAAATTCTATCCATATAGATGGAAACCATTTATAAGCAATCTCATTAGTCATATACAGGAACGTATAGATCTCGCTAATTGGTATATAAGAACGCCGATATGCTTCGAGAGGAGCTTTTCCCTCGGAGCTTTTACATAACATGTCCTGGTGGGCCGCACCGCACCTGCTTTTTTGACTGATTCTAGGACTCCGTCCAAATTTCATATAAACCATTTTCATTCCGAAGCGGTTACTGTTGAAGCACGCAACAATATCATAGATATTAAATACTACCTACGCAAATTGTTGATAATTATATCAAAATACCGATCAGTTCTGTTCTGCATATGCCGTTGTAAGTTATCTGTTCCAGCACAAAGAAATCCAAATTGTACTAGTTTATATCCCGACTTTCATACTGTATTGCATTTTACAGGAATCAATTTTCCTATGACCATAGAACAAATACCGAAATTTGAAAAATTAAATAATATTTCAATTAATGTTTACAGATCACAATTAAATGGAAAAATTTATTCCGCGATTCCTGCGTACATTTCAAAAGAAAAATTACCGACACATGTAAATTAGCTTGATTCCCAGAAGACAAATATTTATTTTTCAAAAATTTTAAATATAAGGAACCTGTCCCTTTATTGTTGATTGCAAATTGAGCCAGAATGAACTATTAATATTCTTATTTTCGGCTATTTTAAACCATGAACATAATTTTGGGCGTCATCTTCAGAATCAAGTCGACCCCTCTCGCGCGCCCCTCTCGCGCGCTTCTACCGGGTTATCCATTTTCAAAAATTATGCAAATTGATTTTGAAATGGCACAGTTTATCTACTTGGAACACCACTTATTCTAGGGAAAAATTAGACGGTTAACAAAAATAATAATACTTACAAGAACCAGAACTTCTGTGAATTACGTTTTTCCTCCTTTAACATTATACTATTCACTGCTACCTCCAAAGCTTCATTCTGCAAAGAAGTTTTATACGTTATTATGGGGCATGTCATAGATACCGGGATTTCAAAGTTTCTGGGAAAGTTCAATTAAAGAGTAACCGCAAAAAAAAACATTTTTTCGCCCGTTTTTGCGTAGTGTGTAGCAAGAACGGGGAAAATCATACAGAGGTCTCCGTGGGCTTAAATTGATCGTCATGAAAAATCTAGGTGAGCATAATTCGATTTTTCCAATATTTGTCCGACTTACCCCTACTTAAGGGGTGGAAACCACCCCTAAAACAAGAAACGTGAGAAAATGGTCGATCAATTCTTGGTAAAAATTGGCGGGAATTTGAATGGCAAGGAAGAGATCAGGGATGTTCTTCCAAATATGCTCAAGGTGAAAAACATCCCCCGCGTGGGGGTAAAACCACCCCTATTGCCGAAAACCGGCGGCAAATGATGTTCCCTTCATGAATTGCCTTTTTTGTGCCACTCTTCCTTATAAATCCAAATGATATGAAATACATATCCCCATAATTCGTTCTTCTGTTCGATTCTGATCAGTTACCCCTACTGAAGGGGTGGAAACCACCCCTAAAACAAGAAATCAGAAAAAATGGTCACCAAAATCTGGGTAAAAATTGGCGGAATTCCACATGGCAAGGGTAACATCAATAATGCCCTCCTAAAAATGCTCAAGGTGAAAAACACCCCCCGCGTGGGGTGGGTTTATCATGAGCACTTTTAGAAGGACATTCCTGATTTTACCCTTACCATGTGAAATTCCCCCAATTTTACCACGAATTTGTCGACTATTTTCTCATTTTTCTTGTTTTAGGGATGGTTTCCACCCCTTAAGTAGGGGTAAGTCGGGCAAATATTGGAAAAATCGAATTATGTTCACCTAGATTTTTCATGACGATCAATTTAAGCCCACGGAGACCTCTGTACAACCTTCCCCGTTCTTGCTACACACTACGCAAAAACGGGCGGATTTTGAGGTCACTCTTTACATGCTACATAGCTCAGATATATCATATTAGCATTTTGTACTAATTCAGACCATTCTAATTTATTGGTATTATATAAATTACATTAAATTTTATACAGGGCATCCCAACGAAAATTTGACCCCCCCTATAATTGGAAAACCGAATAATATTTCAAAATTCGCCGAGACCCGTCGATTTTTGTTCTTGGAGGGAGCTTTTTTGACAGTCAAGCCAACTCGATATGTTCATCCCCCTAATGCCTAGCAACCCCAACTTAAAAATTTCAAATGCAACTACCCCACTTGTGGCACATCATTTTAAAGCCCTTTTCATTGCGAATACAGTGACGTACCGTTTTTAGAAATCGGTTGAGATTTGACAGAATTATTGGTTACAAACGAAAAGATGACAAACCAACTTACGCGTAGTAATTTCTACACAAATGCCCACCACTAATAAGTTTTTCATCTACTACACATGACCGCATTACCTAATTGTTATTGATGTGTCTATCAGTTTACAAAAAAGTCAGAAATGAAATAAAAAAGCTGAAGCAAATAAAACTAGATACTAAAATAGTTATTAGTAGAAGATACTTAAGTTTATAGGAATTCAGACCTTTTCAAAATAACAAAAAATCAGTACTACAAAAAAAGTCGGTGTTTTTTGCTTGTGACCAAGAAATCGTTAGTTTCAGCCGTTATTGAAAGTATTAACGTGTGTTCGAAATGGTTTATTCTATCGCGGAAAGAGTAGAAATTGTTGCAATTTATTATCGAAATCACGATTGCGCTAAAGCTACAGCACGAATTTTTAATGCCAATCATCCTGAAAAAAATGTAAACCACCAGTACGTTAAACACCTGATTGACAAATTTGTTGCAACAGGTTCGCTTTTAAACAAGAAACGTGAAGTAATTGGGCCAGTTCGAAATGAAGCAGTTGAAGTGGCAGTTTTGGGTCATGTACAGATGGATAATAAGCAATCGATTACAACTGTGTCTCAAGCTTCTGGCGTATCCCGTTCCAGTGTTCATCGAATTTTGAAAAAACACAAGTTTCATCCATTTAAGATGACGCTGGTTCAAGAGTTACATGAAGATGACTTTGATCGCCGTAACCAATTTTGCGAATACTTTAGTGAACAACTTCTACTGAATCCAAATCTTCTCTACAATACATGTTTCTCCGACGAATGCACATTTATGTTGAATGGCGAAGTGAATAGACACAATTGTCGTTATTGGAGTGATACTAATCCGCATTTAATCAGGGAATTTCATACTCAGACACCTCAAAAATTGAATGTTTGGGCAGGCATTTTGGGCGACCATCTTGTTGGACCATTTTTCATCCAAGGTAATCTCGATGGAAACACCTATCTAGAATTATTGGAAAGTACAATTGATCCTAGGATAACAGAGATTTTAGAAAGTGACGACAATTTACTAGAAAATGAAATAACCTTCCAACAAGATGGTGCGCCCCCGCACTATGCTGCTGCTGTGCGACAATTTTTGGATGACCATTTCCCGGGGCATTGGATTGGCAGAAGAGGTCCCGTCGAATGGCCACCAAGATCTCCGGATCTGTCCCCTTTGGACTTTTTTCTGTGGGGTCATTTAAAATCACGAGTGTACGCCACTCAGCCGGAAACATTGCAAGTGCTACGTCAGAGAATTGTAGAAGAATGCCGATTAATAACTGCGGATGTCTTTAATAATGTTCGAACAGAATTTGAAAACAGACTGTATTATTGTTTGGAAGTTAACGGGGGTCATTTTGAGCAATTCATCAAATAAATCTGATTTATTATTTGCTTCAGCTTTTTTATTTCATTTCTGACTTTTTTGTAAACTGATAGACACATCAATAACAATTAGGTAATGCGGTCATGTGTAGTAGATGAAAAACTTATTAGTGGTGGGCATTTGTGTAGAAATTACTACGCGTAAGTTGGTTTGTCATCTTTTCGTTTGTAACCAATAATTCTGTCAAATCTCAACCGATTTCTAAAAACGGTACGTCACTGTATTCGCAATGAAAAGGGCTTTAAAATGATGTGCCACAAGTGGGGTAGTTGCATTTGAAATTTTTAAGTTGGGGTTGCTAGGCATTAGGGGGATGAACATATCGAGTTGGCTTGACTGTCAAAAAAGCTCCCCCCAAGAACAAAAATCGACGGGTCTCGGCGAATTTTGAAATATTATTCGGTTTTCCAATTATAGGGGGGTCAAATTTTCGTTGGGATATATATACAGTGTGCAAGTAGGGTCAGTTTTTTAAGGGTAATAATACATGTTCTCCAGAATACTAATCCGAAATTCTCCTTTTTTTTTAATCGAGTAAATGATCGACATTATAATTAGTTTTTTAAACTGTTTTTGAATTCTTGTTTACTCCGCCACTGGGTTGCGTAAACTGGGTCAACTGGAAGTAGTGTAGTAAGTTAGTAGGTAGACTACAGTGTAGAAAAGTACCGATGGTCTATCAGAAGTTACGTGAGAGCGATAAAGTAAGCCATAGAAATCCATGTGATAGACAAAAATGGCTATAATGAAGGCACCTAATAGTCAACGCCCATTTCGCCCTTCCACAAATAAGATCCACTTCTTATTTCTGGAAGGGCGAAACGGGCGGTGACTATGAGCGGCCTTCATTATAGCCATCCTTCTCTATCGCATGAATTTCTATGGCTTACTTTATTGCTCTCACGTAACTTCAGATAAACCATTGGTACTTTCCTACCCTGTATGTTCTTTCTGGATCACTCTCCCAATTTAAAACGCCATAAGACGAAATCTTGCAATTTTTTTATGAATTTTACCCCCTTCCACTCTCCTTTTTGTCACCGCCCTCGTTCAGATTGACCAATCAGGTTGCAGCATTCCGCGCAGGCGCCTTTTGATCGACCAATCAGGTTGCAAAATTCCGAACCAATCAGAACATGCCGCGGAATACCCCCAATCTAGGATCTCAATCACCTCCAAGCTAATCTATCAGGATTCCCCCTAATGTAAATAAATACATGTATGTATATTATATTTTTTTACAGGATAGAATGTTTTTTTATGTTCGGCGCTTCGTCCACATTGATATTTAAAAAATATGGTGACTTTAAAATGATCCGTTACTAAGCCATACAAAAGCAGTCTGCTTTACGAAATTATTTTCCAGTTGATTACAAAGGGAACAAATGGCAACGTTGATAGTGCATTGAAATAATTTACGAGGCTAATTCCGTGTGGCCCGGCTTAAGCTCTGATGTAAAAAATAAGAATTATTTAAAATACTTACTAATTATAACTCGACTATTTATTTGATAAAAAAAGAATTTCAGATTCGTATTCTGGGGATACTCACTATTACACCCTATATATATATATGCAATTTTTTCTCCGAAATCTATACTGGGTGATTCACTTTCTATGATTACAAATTATTGTGATCGTAGATCAATCATGGGCATCCGTAAGGGGCTCTGATAACCCCTACTTTTAATATAATTTTTATGACACACAAACAAATAAGAACTGCCTTTTCGGTTAGAACTAACCCTTAGATTATGCGCTGATCGAGGTCCAAATTTTATTAGCACTCGAGATATTACATAATACACATGAAAAAAAAGAACAAAACTAGCACCAAGAAAATTAAATATTTTGATAAGCATGTTTTAAAACACTAAATAACGTTAAAAGAGAACTCTACTGAATTAGAAACAAAGTTTGGGGACAAATTTACTAGATTAATTCACTTCGAATGCCAGTAATAATAAATATTTTTGTTTGATTTTTGCTAGATCGATAAGAAATTGAAATTTTAAATAGCCATTATATCACACAAAGAAAGTTATAAATTCAATAATATTTTACATTTTGTGACCTTTATCACTTTTCATCAAAAGACAAATAAATCATCATGTCATAAATAAATGATTACAAGGTTGTAATGAATAGGTTAATAAACACAATATCATAGGTTTTGATGATCAAAATTGTAATGTATGTATACATATTTGTTTAAATATAAAATATTTTACAATTTAAATTTGTAGTGATTTACTTTTTGTAGGTACATCTAATTTGAACCGAAATTCCAAATTAACAAATAAAGCTTACGCTCTTGTTCATTAACGATAAATTAAAACTTCCCTTACAAATATTTATCGTTAAACGAAGAGAAATCAAATTCAGTTCAGTGTGCAGTCCTAGATTTTTGCCCGCACTAACTCATTTCTCTCGCACACGTCTGTGCGGAATACCTTGTATTGTCAAAATACAGTTGGGTCAGTCCAATAGTTTATAAGGTCTACCTACGGTGATTCCAGTATATTTCTAGTATCGCCGAATCAAATATCACCAAAATGGAAAAAGAAATACCTACCTATATTTTGAAACATTATAAGCAGATATTTTAGGTATACTAATCAAATTTAAATGTTTTATTAATAACACAGGCACACACAAAAAAATAATGTCAATACCCAGAGGGTAGACCCCCCTACCCCTCCGTTTTTGGGGTCGCTGAAACCGAATATGACCATTAAAAAAATTTAACTAGCTATTTCCCCCTTCTGGGAGTTGAAATGTCAATTCTCATACAAAGTCGAGTAGGGTGTGTATCCCTGTTTTCTGGGCCACTAAGAACGAAGAAGACTACCAAAAATGAATTAGACCCCATCGTTACCCCCTAGCGTCACTTTACCACCCCCATACACCCCTTTATGGGGGTTGAAGTGTAAATTTTCATACAAAGTCGAGTGGGTTGTGTATGCCTACGTTTTCTAGACAGCTGAAAACAAATGTAGGTGGCAAAGGGTGCTGAGGGTTGACGAGGGGGGAGTTTAAAAATATAAGTATAGAAATACTTACCGGAGGCGCAGTTAATATAAGAATAGCTTGATTCAAATGTTTCAAATTAAGAGTTTCATTTCCCTCTTCTGGTTCATCGTTCAACACTTGAAAAGAATTTTGTCTTGAACCAAATATTTTTTTAGAAATCGTCATTTCACTTTCTAGGCCCACTGACACTCTTCTCAACGGACATTCCATTATGAACGCATTTCTTAGTTCTCAACTGGAAATTCAATATTGTTCCTAAAATTAATAGCAACATTTACTATTACCTGGGATTAATCTCGGGAATTATGTTTAGGATTTTAAAAAATTTGAATACTACACTGCGTTATTTTATTAAATTTTTTAATTAATAAGTTATTTTAACCAAAGTGCAAAAATAGTTTTTGTTGGTACGAAATTATAATTAAATTAAAAAATTATTATTATTTACTTACATGTACATGTACATGCTTTCTTATTTTCAATGTGTCAAAATAACCGATTAAGATATAATTGCTGACTAACTTGACTAATGTAAATAAAGCTCAGTTGTATTAAACATGTTCATGGAACTTAAACAACCAAAAAATGTTTAAATTTTGATATCATATGAAGTATTACCTAATTGTTTAAAATAAATAATACCTATAGTATCAATAACTATATTAAAAATTAAGTGGTATTAGATAATGTACTCGGCATTTGTGTACTCACACCGACAACGTAAAATATTATTATACTAAAATCGACTCGTGGCAGGCATCGATTTGGTTCTAACGCATGCTTATTGTTATATTCTTCATATATACGTAGGATAAGAATACAACTGATTATTGAGTTTCGGAGATATAAACTAATATTTTTTTATAGAACCACCTTTATACTACTACTACTACAACCCGTTATTATATCCCTGAAGAAAACATTCTAATAGAATATTACGTACAGGACGTTCTATTTAAAAAACATGGCTGTTGCTATTGCTGTTACAGTTGTTGTCGTTGTGCTTGCTGTTGTCATCGTTGTCGTGGTTGTGTTGGTGGACGGACCTGTATTTCTAGCATTATTAGCTTTTCCCCCTTCATCCTTTTCCTAAAAATTTGCGATTATTATTAAAATTTGGTACAAAATTTTGTGCTAAACCCCCATTAATATTGTCACGCCATTGGAGTTATTTTTCAAGAAACCAGAAGCTCTACTAATAGCGACACATAATTTTATTTAAAAGATATTATTGCAACCTACCGTTAGTTGCACTAGGGGTATAACTCGAAAACGGTATTCAACAAATAACAATATATTGATTTTTGAAAAGAACCAAAAAAACAATTACATAGAAGAAAGTACAAGAAAATGGTTTCAAAATGACTTCTTTCTGGATTTAATTTGTGGGCGGGAAAAGTGGTAGGCGGGAGAAAAAAGTGGTGGGGAGAAAGTTTTCATCTCTCCAACTTACCCTACTCTTGTCCCACCTTGATGTTCACCATCGGTTAGTGGCCGCGAAGCAAGAAGAGCGCCAGAAGAAAGGGCCCTAGCTGGCGGGGCCCAGCCAGGACAAAAGGAGGTCCCACAAAGCGCCTACACCGGCCGCATTTACGGTCGGAGTAGACGACGGGCGGGGCCCACCTACGAAGGCTGTCCAGGCCTACACGAGATGAGGCAGGATAAAGAGGGATACTCCTCCTCGATCCCAAATCATTGATGCCAATTGCTAGCCATGAAATAATGGCGATTAGTGACCTTAATTTATTTGTCCTATCTTGATGTTGACCGCCAGTTAATGGCGTAGATTTCCATTTTGCAGTCAGATTGGAGCTCTTTACGCTTAGCACGACGTTCATCTCTGACTTTTTAAATGCAATGTTTGTGATTTATTACCTTACTGTCCTTGAATTTTTTTTAATTTGATTAATTTCTCCACGTTCCTCATATTATAATAAGATATATCAATTAAAATTACTGCAAGCTCTGCTGGGGTAGATTTTTCAATTAATTCATATTTTCTTGTTTGGAAAACTGTATAAATTCAAGCCATATCGATGCTCAGTATTATGAAATAGACGTATAAAATATAAACATGAAGATATAATCATATAACCTCCCCTACGCAAAAACTTTTTTTTCTCTACTTTTAACTCAATTAATCGCTGCCCACAATTGGGCAAGCTTTTAAAAAATTCAAATAAATTCACCAATCCCAATATGCTCACAAAAATTTAATTTTTGATCGTTGACAGGTCTTTTACTCATAAGTTTGTTGTGTTTGTTTTATCAGTTTTGCCCTCACTAGTTTTATCTCGCTCGCACACATTAGGGCGGGTTACATTTCTTTGTCCAATCTATAGTATACTAGGCCTATGGTGCCATCACTATTGTCTGTCAGTTGTCAGTTGTCAGTGTCAGTTGTCACTCTTGTCAGTCATTAATTTGTGGTGATAGTGGTTACTGTTATAAGTGAAATTTTATTTTCAAAAATGGAATCACAACCAACGAAACAAGATATCGAAGATGCGTTTCATAGATTGCGAACTATAGCTGCAAATAAAGTGAGTAAAATTATATTTGTGTAGTTATGCTGCAAAGTAATTTTAAATATTGTATATATGTACGAACATGACGTGTACATAATCGGAACATATTTTTTAGAAGAAATATTGTTGCATTTCTTAAGTAGCCTTTCCTTTCCAACATTGAAATTAAAAAAATAGTAAATAAACTTCTGTGCCATAATTATTACAGAAATTAAAGGCACAAAGTGTAACAAATCCTACAAATACATTATGTACCTACCTATAAAAACATTAAAAATGTGTTTAGCATTATATGAACAGTTTAATTATTTTGGATATTTTAGGCAACTGCCATACTTATCTTTGCCTTACTTACCAGGGTTAAGATTTGAGGAATTTTTAAAGTGCACATTTAACTGTGCAGGTGCTGAGAAGTTCTAAACTATGCAGTGAAACTATAGGTACTACCAGAACAATCGTCTAACTGAACACATGCCATTTTTTTCCTGCCAAATTTTTATTCGTTAGAAGAGCTTGCGATGCTTATGGAGGTTATGTCAAAATGGATTTATATTGCTCCAAGAAGCAGACATTCCATTTACCACACATTTTATTTATGACCAACATAAAAAATATGTATTACATTTATGTTTTAAAAGTTACTTAATGAAAAACAAAGATACTGTTTGCAATTGTATTTCAACAGAAGTCTTCCTAAAAATATGCAGAAAAGGCATGAATTTAAAAAGTTTTGTTGTCTTCCTTTAATTGCATTAGGACATAGTTCTAAATTGAACTAGGGTGCAAGAAACCCATTTTTCAAGCGTTAGGTAATATATGTTATTCACCTTCAAACTATATTGCGGTTTAGGACCTATGACATTCACAATCACCAAATTGTAGATTTATAGTATTTATTGGAAAATCTGAGATTGTGTCAAAAATCTGTTGGTATATACTGGACTGGTTACCATTCAGAGAAATGGTTTCAGAGTTTCTTCTCATAAGATAGCGATATGTCCCTCGAAAAGAGAAGAAACCTAAACCAAGAACGTGGCAGCCAGCCCAGAAATTATTCATCAAGTCTCAATCTCATGTCGTTCTTTTGGGCAGAAAAACTTTTACAAACATGGCTGCCACCTAAGAACTCTATATTTTTTTAATTTTAAATACAGCAAAAAAATTAAGTAGCAGAAAAATTTCCAAATTCTTTTAGTGACTTTTGAAAGGTTCTAACTTCGTGAATAATGGTTGTATCGAGAAGAAAAAACATTTTGAAGCTTGAAGATACTAGTTTTGAAATCTTGAGATGAAAAATTTTTACAATTTTTTTTTTCTCAAAACTGCCCAAGGGCGCAGATAAATTTTTTCTGGTTTAATCAATGACAGGGTCAATTAGTCTGATTTCTCAGCTTCAATGTTGTTTTTTTTTTAATTTTCTATACGATTATTTCTCATTGAGTCCCCCTTTTTTTTTTGATCATCGATATCTCATGAACTAATGATCATACAGCGAACGGAAGGTGGGTTTTGGAAACTTGATTCAATCCTCTTCAATGACCTTTTGGTATGTTTGAGAAAAAAATATTATACTCGGTATCAATTTGAAAAAGTGCAAAAAAAACTTTTTCTGCTGTGTTCGGAAATATATGTACTTTAAGATTAAATCACTCTGTGGAATATGCAAAAATGCAAATATGTATTCAAATGTAAAAGTAATGTAATCAATAAAACCATAAACTTCTACCTACTCAGATGTTGTTTTGTTGAATATAAATAAGTCATTGGCTCATGATCTAGGGACTTCTCATGTTAACTGATTCACAAAATCACATCGTTTTAAAATCTATATTTTTAGGTATGTTTTGATTGTAATGCCAAAAATCCGACCTGGTCTAGCGTTACGTATGGGGTCTTCATTTGTATAGATTGTTCTGCAGTACATCGCAGCCTGGGAGTACATGTTAGTTTTGTAAGATCCACACAGTTAGACACTAATTGGACATGGCAACAATTGAGACAAATGCAGTTAGGAGGAAATAACAATGCTGTAAGTATTTTTTCTTATTGGTGTTATATGATAACGTTAAAAGTATTTCAAAGTAAAAACAAAAGTATTTTTCATAAGTATGTAATACTAAACTGTATGTATTAACTTTAATATCAACAGTTGACATTAATCAATTTCAAAAACATCCCCAAAAAAAATTCTGGAAAACAAGGAAAGGCGCAAGGTCAGGATTAAGATCTAGGAAATAAGAAATAGGTAGCCAGAAAAAAGAAATTAGCAAGGCAAAACAGATAATGTTTTGAATACTGTTTTTAATATACAGTCTGTCTACTATAGGAGGGCCACTCCTATGTATCTTGCTTAATACACGATGCACATCAAGAATCTTTATGTTTTTGTTGCATTTTTTGAGATCTTGATGCTTGTAAAAATAAATACTGACCGCAAAAATCGCCCGTTTTTTCACAATTCGTAGAGAACTAAAGAAAATAGATAAAAATATGTTTTTGGTCTCAAATTACTCGTCATAAAAAATTAAGATATGCTCATCTTAATGATGCTGATGAATGCTTTAGTTTTTTGAAAATTCTCAAAAATCACCCCTGTTTAGGAGTTGAAAAGACGCTCAAAATGAAGAATTGAATTTTACCAATAAATATAAAAACTATTAGCATGTGAATTTTTCTATCGAATGATTCTTGATACAAAGAAATATTTATTCTCATGACTGAAATAAGCATGTTGAATTAGAAAATCCACCCTTAAGCGCGCTCAGGGGGTGGAATCGTCCCCAAAAATAGAGAATATCAGAAATAATTGTAGAAATTCCAAAAAAAATATATTAAGATAATTCACATGCTAATAGTTTTTATATCAATTGGTAATATTCAAATTCTTCATTTTTGGGATTTTTTCAACCCCTAAGTAGGGGTGATTCTTTACAACAAATAATTTGCGACCAAAAACATATTTTTATGTATTTTTTGTAATTTTTTAAGAATTGTGAAAAAACGGGCAAAAATGACAGGTTTTTTGCGGTCACTCTTTAAGATCCAGGGCCAACTTTATGAGTAATCATAAAAAAACCGGAAAAGTACCGAAAGTTTAGGGCCGTCTAACTTTTTTATTTTATGAGATGAAGAAAACTTATTTTAAAATAATTTCATGGCAACATTGATATCTTTCTAATAATTCTAACCCAAAAGTTTACTGAAAACCTCTGTTGAAATGAAGTTTCTCCATGCCAATGTAAATTACCATTAGTTCATTTGAAGTAAATGTTACTATTAAAAAATCCATTGTTACAAAAATTAGGCGCACCTGACCAGAGAATTCTTCTGCATATAAAAGGATCTTCCCTCTTTCTTTCTTGTCACCACCTACAGAACCCTAATCTCCTCGGTTTATCTTGCTCTCTCAAGAGATGCACTTTTTTCACCTTATAACAATTTAAACCATTTTATCGTAATATCATTCTTGCACTATCCTTCTGTAAATTGTAATTCACTTCAACCTCTCACTGTTTTGCTCATGTTTCCTATTTACATAATTTAAAATTCTGTTAACATTACCTATTTTATTAACAGCTGATTTTATTAGCGTAAGTTTTCTACATTCCGCAAATGCTTGAATAGAATTGAAATTGCCCTGATAGTACAATACAAACATATTACACTTCTCAATATGTGAAAATATTATTATTCAAAATGTTAGTTTTTCAAATCACAGTTAACTGTAACAATTTTCAAACCTACAGTTATGTATAAACTATAACAATAAACAATTTGTTAAATAATGACATTACTGAGATAACACATTTTTTGTTGAAGGTTCAATTTTCTCTAAAGTAAAAACCGATATTATAAAAATGCTTAAAAATTTTGCTTAAAAGAATTACATTATATTTATTAAATTTTTTGTAGTTGACACGCGTCTATAACAATTTCTACGCTAACACGAAAATGTTTACATTTTTTAAACCAAAATTATAAAGAATGTAATAAATATGAAAGATACAGGCAACATGTAGTATATCACATGAAAGAGGAAAAACAAGCAATTTAGCTACAGCCTGCTTGGATGACAATTTTTTTCTATCTACAGGACTGAGCGGGGCACGGATAATCAAAACATTTATTTTTTACATAAGAAACAGAGCAATACATAGGTAAACATGCACAAAATCATTGAAAATGCAATCTAGGTTAATTTATTTTTAGTACCTACTTTTTAAACAGTCAATCATTTTGGTCCATGTTTAACTTCTTCTGTTTTTCATTATTTTGTGACGTATTTTACGTAGGTTTAAAAGGTCGACTTACTCGATATAGGCTAATAGAATATTTGCAACTTCTGCAGATTAGAAGCGTTAGCCATGCCATAACCGAGGCCATAACACATGACTCTATACAGTCTTTAGTGAACAAAAACACAAAATAACACGTCACCACAAATTAACAGACATATCATTGATAAATCCGCACCCCGGATAATCGGGGTTCTACTGTATTAATATTAAAAATAATTTTTCTTTTCTAGCTTCAATTTTTTACTCAACATAACTGCAATACCACAGATGCCCAAAAAAAATATAATTCCAGAGCTGCCCATCTATACCGTGAAAAGTTGAGTCAAATGGCTTTGAATCATCTAAAAACAAATAATCAGGTAACCATTACTTCCACATCCTGTCAAATTAGCCTTCATAGCTTCAGATGTCTTGATAATATAGCTACAAAAAGGTAATTAAAACAGTGCAAAGTATTTAAGGTATCTCCAAAATTGGTGATTTCTTTAAACTCTTAGGTGATCAACCAGATCAAATATAATAGTTTTTAAATTAGCAATTTAACTGTGTGCAGTTGTCTTTATAAATTGGTTATTAAGACGAGATAACCCAGGTCACTGGCAGAAATTCCCTATCGAGCCTCTGTATGTCTATGTATAATCCTGCTGCTGTATCACCTAACTGTAACTATCATTCAACCAGACTATCCTCGAGGGCAAGAGTGAGAATTATAGAATATTTTAATCCTGTTTGTATTTATTCGCCATTTGTTTACTAAATTTTTGTAGTGGAGATTGGCGACCAAGTTAATAACAATTTTTTTAATTTCCTTTAATGTCACCTGCTGCTGAAATCAATTTAATCATGACCCTTTGCCTCCGCTATAAAAGTTGGTGTTCTTCCTCTTATAACATTCATTTTAAAATATAATATGTTATAACTTTCACTTTGTTATATTTCCCTTAAAATTAATTTAATTCTAGTTCTTTCCGTTGATATTTGAAACAGTAGAACCCCCGATTAAGTAACTCACCGAATTATAAAATTTTTATATTTCATAAGACGAATTAATCGTATTTTAGCCTGCATCATCAAACCGCTCTCATATTTAATAAGCATTTTTAGATAGTCTTTAGCAGGGGTTCTCAACCTTTTTCAGACTGTACCTCTTAATGAAAAATTAAAATTTTGCATACCCCCTTGTTAGGCATGTAGTTGAAAACCCAATAAGAATGTTTACAGCAGTATTTAGTAAGTAGTAGTAGTAGTAAAAATCTAACAACGTAGCACTCAAATATTTTTTTTAACGTCGGATCACATGATAGTTCAATCAGTTGTTCCTTCTGGAATGTTGTCATAGTGAGACAAACCTATTGCACCTGTTGGTTCTAAGTAACTCGACCACACAAGTATTCAATTAGAATCCATTATTAAATTATAACCTTGCGTGATTACGAAACGGAAAGAAATAAAAATGGTTTAATTTTCCATTAACCTGCCCCGCGTACCCCCTGAAAATTTTCGCGTACCCCTTGGGGGTACCACAGTTTGAGAACCCCTGCCCTAACCAATATGTGAATAGGGCAAAGTCCAACAAATTTAGCAGTATCGGTCTGAAACATATGCGGAGACGATTATCTTTTCTGAAGGTGTCGAGAACAGTAGTATTACCCTTTAATATGATGGCATTATGAGAGAACGTTATAAATAAAAGCAAGTTTCCACACCACTCATGAAGTATTGCTTATGATGCGTTACCATTTTTTTATAGTGGGTAGTTCGCCGGTAGCCCTATTTTCCATGTTAAATTAACAATTCTCCATTAAACAACATTCTAACATCAATAAAATAAAAATTTTTTCAAGTAATAACACAAATAATCATGAAAAAAAACGTAACAATTCCACATTTAAAAAAATGTAGATATAATAATATAACAATAAAATTACAAAATAAAATTTTCTTCTAATAATAACACAAATAATATTGAAAAAAAACATAATAACAATTCCAAAAATAATACCGCATCTAAAGACAATCACCCAGTCAGTTTCCGGTACTCCATTATCACTCATCACAATCATTATTACCGACATTGATAATAAAAGGATCGATGAATTCATCAACCATATTATCTACATCCCACATTTTCTTTTCTTCTTTTCAGCGTGATTAATACGATCTCTTCTGTTATAATGTTTTCTAATGCTTTCTTAAGATGGCGTTGAACATCAGCCAATTTAAATGATCTATTTTCTCGAGCCACTTCCCCTTTAACTTGTGCCCAAATTAACTCGATTGGGTTTAGTTCACAATGATAGGGGGGCAATCTTAGTACGGTTATTCCACGGCTTAGTGGTAATTCATCAACAGCGAGTTTCTTATATTTATATATTTATGGGCATGTAGTTTCACAAGCTGAAGCAATTCTGCTTTTATGTGGTTTCATCATAAGGAACACCTTTGTCCAGTAACCATTCTTANATATGCCTCGGTTGTGAAAAATATTGACTACCATTGACATTTAAAAGAACTTCTTGAGTTCTTCCTTGTAAATAGCTATTAAGCCAGTTCAGCGCAGGACCTCTTATGCCATACCTTTCTAACTTGCTTAACAAAAGTGTATGATCAACTACATCGAATGCCCTAGTCAAATCAAATAATATACATGCACATTTGTCTTTATTTTCTAATGCATTTAATATAAAGCTATATAAAGATAAAATTGCATCTTGTGTCGCCAAACTTTTTCTAAATCCGAACTGATTTTTATTAATTATGTTATTATTTTCTGCGAAACTTAATATTCTTAAATAAAATGCCCTTTCAAATATTTTCGAAAATACAGAAAGGAGTGCTATTCCTCGGTAATTAGATATTAAATACTTATCATTCTTTTTATGGATAGGAATAATTACAGCTTTTTTTAATAAACAAGGGAAATATCCTTGTGTAAAAGATAGATTGATCAAACTAGTCAAAGGAACGGATATAAAAGAGATTATTTTATTAAGAATTGTGCATGGAATGCTATCAAAACCCGCCGAATTTTTCGTGCAAACTTTCCTAATTATATCCATTACTTCTATTTCTGTAAAAGGGAACAAAAATATGGAATTAGACACAAAAGGGATGCCTAAAGACACATCCCTTTGAAACTTTTTATCATTTAAGCACATGGCCGAATCGACAAAGAAATTATTAAATGCATCTGCGGCCTTATGTAAGTTTAAAATATTGTTCCCATCATCATCGTGATAGCTTTGACAAATGTTACTATTTAAAGTATTACAATTTTTTTTAATAATGTTCCAAGCTGCTTGAGATTTGTTAGAAGAATTCAATATCTTATTACCAAAATATGTTGATTTTGCTACAATAATTTTTTGTTTATGAATTTTCTTTAAAGTCTTATAGCGCAATTTTAATTCGTTATCATTAGTACATCTGTATATATCATATAATTCTCTTAACATAATCCCCTCATTAATGATTTCCAGTGTCACCCATGGGTTTGTCTTCATATGAGATTTATTCTTATTTTTACACAGTTCCACAGGAAAAGCTTTATCAAATGAATTCAAGATAACCTCATGAAAGAATGAAAATTTTTCATCAAGCGACAAATCGACTCGACCACACAAGTATTCAATTAGATTCCAATATTAAATTATAGCCTTGCGTGATTACGAAACGGAAAGAAATAAAAATGGTTTAATTTTTCATTAAGCTGCCCCGCGTACCCCCTGAAAATTTTCGCGTACCACAGTTTGAGAACCCCTGGTCTTTAGAATTACGATAAATCGCAAACTTTGGCTATTTTTATATACTGTTTCAGTTCCACATTCATTCTCATCCAGAAGAGAAAATAGGAGAAAAAGAAAGCGATTTCTTTTTGGATAGTCATCAATTTTCCCTTAAAAATTCTGTGCCACAGCAGCCGAATCCAGTAAGTAAATATACACACAATCCACTTGCAGTTAGAAACACTATAATCACTTGGTGTGGTATTTTTAATGGACAACTTCTACCTATTCAAATTTTGCCTATTCTTTTAAATGGTGACGCATACATAGCATTTTTAGAAAATGATTTGCAAGATTTATTAGATGACATTCCTACTGGCCTGCAAAATAGAATGTGGTATCAGCATGATACCACTACATACTGGTAGGAATGTGGTGGGGTGGCTTAATAGTAATTTCAATGGGAGATGGATTGGAAGGTGCGGTCCCATCCATAGGCCTACAAGCAGGCCCGGTCTGGCCAGGTCGTGCCGTCGGCAAAGCCCGACTTATTTTGGCAGATAGGCCCCCAAACGACTAACGAGGCTCCAAATGTATAAGAAAATTTGTTGTAAATTCTTGAGATATAGCCACTGTAAATTGAAAAGAAAAAAGAAGAACATAAAAATGAAAATTGAATCTTTTGTAGAAATGGGATTTTCGCAAGTCAAAAAAATAACACAAGTTTTATTATTTTGCCCTATACCCCTATAAACAATGTACCTACAGAAAAGAAAGAGAGAAATAAATATATATTTCAAACCATAACCCCTTTAAACTAATAACTCCTTTATCTATAAGCCGTGGGCCTGGAGGAAAAACGAGAAAAATTAATAACTCCCAAACTGTAAGTCTTTTAACCCTTTACCCTATAGCCGTATAAGCTATGTGCTCGGAAGAAAATATGGGAATATAAATAATAACCGAGAGCTTTAAAATTTTTTAAAGCCCTTGGACTATGTCCAAACTATTATTGATTTCCTGTATCCCGGGTCGATAGGTGCAACAAAAAAATAAATGAAGAAGTTAGAAAAGTTATTTTTGATGAATTTTGGAACCTTGGAGATCATACTCGGCAGTGGGATTTTCTTGTAAGGTGCGTGACATGAGAAAAAGAGCAGGTTAGGTACTGTACATAATAAATATTCCAGAAAGTTTGTCATTGACAATAATGAGAAACAAATTTGCAAAACGATGTTCTTAAATACGCTTGCAATTTCTGAAACAGTTGTAAGCACCGCTTTACAAAAAATTGGTGAAGGTGGTACTGTAGAACGGGACAGAAGAGGAAAACACAATACTAGACTGCATATGAACCCGGATGCTCTAATAAAAAACATTATGGAAAATGGAACACATAAAACTTTTTCCACTTATGCCTTCTCATTAAAAACTCAAAACGAATGTACTTGGAAGTAGGTTTGAGTATTTCACGAATGCACAGAATGTAGGTACCTATTTGGAATATGCAAAACAACAAAAAATGGGATGCAGTAGCTACACTCAGACAATACAGGGATACTCTTAATTCGAAATTTAATATAGCTTTCCTTAAGCCAAAAAAAAATATCAGTGTTCGGTGTGTAGTGCCTATAAGAATACAGATCCCGAGAAGAGAACAGAAAAAATGGAAGATGATTATAATAATCATAATTTAAACAAAATCGCGGTTCGAAATCTGAAAGACATTGATATAGAATTGCCGAAAAATTGATAAATCTCTAATAACGGCATGCTTTGATTTTTATTATAAAAGTAAAATCGCAACATACAACTTTACAATTTATGGTTTAGGCAGCAATCAAGGCTATTGCTATATATGGCATGAGCAAATATCGAAGAGAGGACCGGATGAAATTGGAAGTTGTTTATGGATCTTTTTAAAAAGTGTTAAAGAAAATAGCATACGAAAGGTTATTCTTTATTCCGACAATTGCGGTGGTCAAAACCGTAATCGTTTTGTTTTTGCGATATTTGCTTATCCATCAATGGCTTTGGATTTGGAAATAACACACCGTTTTCTTGAAATTGGCCACACTCAGAAATGACAGCATGCAAGCTGTGATTGAAGTTGCAAAAAAACGTCACTGCTATATACACTCCTGATCAGTGGATTAGTCTAATAAAAATGGCCAAAGTTACTGCCAGTACAGTACAAAGTAAAATAAATGCCTCAAGAAGATTTTGTAACTTTTAAACCAATGGTAAAGAAACAAAACTGGTAAAAAGATATTACTGGAGAAGCTGTAAAAATCATCAAAACCAGAGAAATCCACTGCGATCCAAAGTCTCCCAATAAAGTATTTTTTGTGTATAATTTTGGAGAATATCAGTTTCCAAGATTATATCAAGGTTTGCTGCCAATTGATGGTAAAAAATTAAGCGGCCTTTTGGGTCTGTGTAAGGCTAATTTGACACCACCGATGTATAATGGATTTTACAACTCCCTTCTTACTGCTAGTAAGACTGACCACCAGGAAAAAAGTAATATTGACCAAGAAGATGACTCTGACTCTGAATCGTAATAAATTTTCCTTTTATGCCATTATTGATGATTATTAACAATTATTTTTTATCTAAAAATAGAAAATTTTTCATTTTTCTGTACTTTATTAATGTAGCAAGTTGTTTCTCAATAAAAATTTTGTCGACGAAAACTGTAGTAAGTCATTCAAAATCCATTTTTTTCTTATCATAAACTATTTTATTTAGATCATCAATAATTAATTATGACCTGAACAATAATTACTTTGTTAAAGAAGAATGATTTAGCTCTCTTGTAATAAAAAAAATAACGAACATTATCATTTTCTCAACTATTCAAATGCAATTATCTCGGTATAACCAAATTTGAGATACGACAGTTTTCCTTGGGAGAATCGATATGCACCCTAATAACACACAAAACCAAATAGGCCCCGATTTCGATTTTTCCCGATGGCTCCTGAAAGAGCCAGACCGGGCCTGCCTACAAGGTCACTGGAACTTAACCCTTTGGACTTTTACCTATGGAGTTACTTAAAACAATTAGTTTATGCTGAGCTAATTAATACAATTGAGCAATTAAAAGATATAATTTTAAATTCAGTGCATAAAATTCAAAATTACTACAAATTGTGGAATAAAATAATAAAGTATTTTTATAACTGAATATCTCCTGAAGGAAGCCAAATCTGAAAAGAAGTTATTCAATGTATATAAAGATATAAAGTTTACTTTTGTGAAACATGTTTACAGAAAAATATGAAAGTCAGTTAATTGACAACAAACATATTTTGACTAATCATGTATGTCTGGAAAACAAAAAATAATACAACAAAGCAAGTAAATGTCGTTTTACCGTTCGTATCCCAGTTTTTTACACATACCTACTTTTCTGTGTCACTTACAGTAGGTTATTTATTGAAATAAGCTCAACAGTGCAAAATATGAGTAATAATCAATTGACGGACATGATTCAGGTATATTTTAGGTATAATAAAAATCGTGGTGCAGGAGTCCGCCTTTACAGAGAATTGTTTCCTCAGAGAAAAGATCCAGATTTGCTTTTAAGAAACAAAAGCAAGAAGAACGCCAATTTAATAAAAACACCGGGTATAATGTTCTTCTTAACGTTGAAGGACACCTAAGAACTTCCATTCGGGAAATTTCTAATAACATTACAGCATCAGAAAGTATAGAGAACTACGACTACAATTTGTTTCTTTAGTTGTTTTGTGTTTATTGTTCTTCGTTTAATGTGTTTTATGCTTAATCAATGTCATTTCGTGTTGAACTTTGTTAATGTATTTAATTAAATTATTGTTTTTCTTTTAATTGATATTCATTGTATTGTTTCTTTTATGTTAACTACAAAATTTTCTTTTGTGGTTTATTTGCTTTACTGTATTATTTTTTGTTTTCCCTGGCACAGATGATTAGTTAAAATACATTTGTCGTGAATTAATGACCGGGCGCCGAATGCGGTATCGACTAATATTTTGTCGTCTTTTCTTTAATAAATGCTTGACAAAAGTCAAGTTCATATACATCGTTGGATTCAGAAAATAAATCTGCACAATAATAAATAACAAAAAAACTATATTGCCACTTGAAAAAAAAAGTTGACTCGCTTTTCAAAAAAAAATAGTAAATAAGTTCTAATAGTCTCCCTTTATAGTGTATTTAGAGCCATTTCATTAAATTTTTTGTTTTTTTTTTAATCAGACTAAATAACGGAGTTATAGCTTGCGGCATTTTCTAGGAGACAGCCTGTATATGTAATATACAAAAATAATTTTTTTATTTTTTTCAGAAATCGAGTGCATTTAAGGACAATGCTGTAAGCAGCGAAAATCATGAAGAACCCAAAATTAATTTATCTCTTAATAACAAAACAGAGTCCCAAAAATCTATTTTAAAAAAGCAACCTCAAAAAAAGTCAGGGGTAAGTCTTCATTTCTTTCATATATCTAAATCTAACTAAATTCTGGGCATTGCATTTAAAATTGACGTATGAATTTGATAATTATTAAAAAAACAGTAATTAGAGGTAGAAAATATATTGTTATATAGTTATATTAGTTATACAAAATACAATTAGTTATATTTCACCAACTCGATAGATTTTTACAAAATATGAACTCTCGGTGAAGTGCCGGCCCAATATATTCTTATAAAATGCCTGTTTTATGACTGTCACAGATAAGCAAAAACTTGTGTACTTCCAGTTAGGTGTAAAGAAAGGTGGTTTAGGAGCAACCAAAGTTAAGACAAATTTTGCTCAAGTGGAAAGGGAGGCTGAATTAATAGAAGAATCACATTCAAAATCTTTTGCCGAATTAGTAAATGTTGCAACTGCATCTATTAAGGAAAAGGATGATACTGCGACTCCAGCACGTTTAACTTATAAGCATAAAGAGGAACACCAGTATTACGAAGATGTTGAGAAAACAACACAAGCCCAACGTTTAGGAATGGGTATTCCACAAAGAATGTAAGTTATTTTTTACATATAATTGTTTAATAGTTCAATTAGATTTGTCAAGCAGAGAACAATGTTAGAAAAAAAATAATAAATTAAAACATATTCACACCAAAATCACAAAGATACTGTAATCTGAGGGTTTATTTCTTTAATTATCTACCTTTCGTTATGACCAGTATCATAACAAGTCTGGATTTCACAAGAGTTTACTATTTAATTCTCGAAAGGGAGTTTATAATTATCATAATACTTTAATTAATACATGGGAACTTAGAAATGTTGTATGTTCAGAGAATGAATTCCCAGCACTTATCATTCATTGCTTACGTAGAATGTAATCCAGTGGCTGGCTATACAGGGTGACACTGAAGTTGGAGAAACAAAAGGAAACACCAAAACTTCCAGGAAGGGTTTTAATAGCAATAAACAAAACAAACAAACAAAATGACAACACAACGGCTCGAACAACATTATTAATTGAGAACTGACTTTTTCTCCTAGATCTCTCCTGAATTCCTCACTTCGCTTTGACACGCCCATTTCTTGGGTCCAGAAGTTTCGGTTCTTATCTTATTGGCTGGGACCTGAATATCGGGATGCTTGGATATAACTATACTAGGTTAATAATCACCTAATTGACTTGACTTACATGTATATAAGAATTCTGAAACTAAACTTACTTACAAGTAACCCTAGCCTTCCTCTAGCGACTCCGTGTAGCAAGTACGGGACAGATTAGTCGATCACATTTAATCTACTCTTATAGCTTGGAAAATCCGTCAAAAAACCAGCTTATTAATATACTTTTCTTTTTCAATTATTATCAATTTAACAATATAATTTAATTCTATTTTGGAACCTCTACGCTCTACTCGTGGTTTTGCGCGTTATTAAAAATATCGATTTTTACGCTGGCGCCTCCCAGACGCAACAGATGACTGTCACATGGCCCCGACTCTAAGCGAACTTGTTAAAAATATTGGTAAATTTCTGCGAAGGACGACGCTACCTACTTGAAAGCTCTCAACTTTCGTTAATTTGTGTTGACTGAAATATTTTAGTTGGACCATCGGTTCCGAGAACTAATAAATAAATGACTGCGTGTCCCAGCTTTTGTTACAATACGTCTTTACATCAAATGTGACATCTCCACTTTAGGGAAATCAGACCTCAAAAAAAGTTAGATACACTCGTACTTTTTCTTAAACAAAACCCATCTGTTGCTTTCCGAGGCATTGTTAATTTTTTTTTCTGTAAAAGCAAAATAACAAATATTTAATTCTTGAATTAATAAAATAAAAAGATATGAAGTGCTTCAAATAAATACAGGGTGCGGCAAAATGATAGGTACTATTTGGGGTGTCAATAAAAACCAAACCACACAAATCAAAGAAAAAAGTTTTTTATTTTTAGAAACTACATATGCCATTTTGAAACATTATGTTTGAAAAATTACATCTCTTAAATGATGGCCATTATTGTCGATACACTCTTGAAGGTTTTCACGGAAGCGCGCCATTGCTCTATGGATCTTCTGTTGCGGAATCGCGGCAATTTATTATGGCTGCTTTTAATTCTTCCAAGTTCTGTGGTCGACGTCTAAAAACTCTCGGTTTGAGGTTTCCCCAAAGAAAAAAATCACAGTGGGACAAATTATTCCGATTACGGAAGGCATGCTGCGTCGCTTTTACAGATTCGCCATTTCTGATGAACTCCTTGACTACGAAAGCGTTCCGGTCAAAGGCATGCCGATAACTGAAAATGGCACAAACTGATTGTTGGGATTATGGGTAGAACTAAAACACTTTAATAATTAAAAGATATTGTTTATTCACTTATTCAGATAGCACATCTATTCTGTATCAAATCAGATTAGAAACTGAAAATCTCTCTTAAGCTTAGTGTTACAATATACCTCCGTATGTTTATAAGCATTTTAATTTATGAGCTAGGGCCGTTGGGCTTGAGTAATATATAAACACATTAAAAGTAGGCATTAGTATCTAACGATGGGAATGTTTTTGTTTACATAACTTAGTACATTTTAAAAAATTTTGTTTTTAAATTTAGTTTTGAAATAGGTTCATTGCATTACATAGATGCAGGATTGGTGGGGAATATTCTAAATAATGCAAACATTATTGGAAAGTTTATTTTCTTCTTAATTTGCCTAATTGAATTATTGAATGAATTGAAAAAGTCACGGGATGTTAAAGTTTCTTTTTTATTTCTTGTTTTCTCCTTAACTCAGAACCGATTTGAGCAAAGTTTGCTGCTGCTCAGTTTCTCTTCTTGAACTATCCAGTGATTATGTCTTTATTAAGTTAAATCATACAGGGCGTATTTTAGGGACATCAGTCATTCTGCAGTGAACGATATGAAAACTATTGAACAGGAGAATGGACAGTCCACCTCGAGCACTTTAAACTCATTGGGAAAGTTACGCATTTCAGACAGCGACAGCTTCTTTGATGACTACAGCTATGGAAACTCTTTTAGTATGAACCGCAATATTAATAACAGTGGTTATTTTGGTAATAATAAAATCGATCCCGTACTGCACGATATTGGTGTCAACAATAAAGAAAATTGGGTTATTATAGACGATGAACCTAGTAAACCTGAAAATTTGCCGACATCTATTGGTAAGTTTAAAATTGTTGTATATTTATTTAATTTTATATTTTGCATATTTATGCACATATAGCATATTGCTGCCACTGGATTATGTTAATTTATCGCTAGGTATTGAAATTATGAATCATGATGTATATAAACAGTGTAACAAGTTCCAAGTTTTTTGATGAACCACTTTGGGTGATATTTCATAAAGATTAAAATACCTCAATGCCTGCTTCATTAAAAAATAAGTTGAATATACCGGGTGAGGCATTTATCTTGAGACAAAATAATATCTCGGTTAGACTCGATTATTTCAAAAAAAGTGTCAGACAAAAATTGTCCATATTACGACTTCTGGTCTAGACTGGAAGTGGTGTTTTTAGACCGGAAGTTGATTTTTTTAAATGGAAACACCCATTTTTTACCACGGATTTCGATTGAAAATAAAAAAAACTTTTTGTTCTTATTTTTCTGATTTAACCCATGTTTTGGCCATAAATGGTCATAAAAAAAACAAAAAAAAAACAATCTTGGGATCACTAAAAAAAAAAAATTCATACGAAACTTGTAGGGGGACTATCTTGCATGTGTAAAATTAAGTAATTTATTCAAGACAAATACACTGTCAAAACTGTTACAACTTTTTTTTGTTTTGATGAAAGGATCTATGGAAAAATTGTTCTTGAAGAACTACTTTATATTATTTTTAAGTAAACAAACAGTTTAATGGATAATTACAGAACCGCCATACTTTTACAGATAAATATAAAGAGGAAGCTGTTAGGAGACCTGTCACAGCCTCTAATGCAGATGAAGCCCAAAAAAAATTTGGAAACGCTAAAGCAATATCTTCGGATAAATTTTTTGATGAGAAAGGATCTGATTATGAAATGAAAGCTAACCTAAGCCGATTTCAAGGCTCTTCAAGTATATCTTCAGCTGATCTTTTTGGCACTGGCAGTAAGTTATCTGTACTTGGTGCTTTTTGTTTTTGCTTATATGGAGCGTCCCAATATTCCTTGTACATTGACATGCGCACATTCTTAAGGTCAAAATAAATGAAACAATTAAATTCTTCTCTATCTAAAGTTGCTTCGTTTAATCTCTAAAGGGCATCAGAGTTGACAAAAACTTTTATAATTTTTCCAAATAACCAGCTGGCTTTGTTCGATTTTTGATTGATTTCTCGATGTGGCAAATTTCATTTTTAAAAATGGGGAAAATGCCTTCCGCCTAAAGAACATATTTTTTATAAATTTATAATTTTTGTTCTTATTTTATCACAATTTTTTTCTCTTGTAAATTTCGTAATAGTTTTTTCACATATTTATTTTATTAGTCATCACATATGCATTTTTGATACAAGAAATTTGTCTTAACTACTATAAAATTTTTTATTTACTTGATAACAAAAACATAATACAGGGTGATTCAGTCATAATGTCATTAATTTTAAGAGCAGATAGAGAAAAATGAGTATAATACGATGGCGTGATTAAAAAAAAAAATTAAATGCATATTTAAGCTGAAAAAAATATTTTCAAATCATTATTCAACCCCCTTTTCAGGCTGTTACTGACCGGCTGACTTCATCCGGCTAGGATATGAATAAAGCTACCTAGATGCAATGTTGCCATATTTATATATTTTCGCACATATAAAGACAATAAATAAACGGTTTGCTCACGTCAGCCAATAATAATTTAAAATGCTATAAATTATTTTTTTATAATTATGCAATCAACATATTAAATTGTTATTGTTGCCCAGCAAGAACCTCGAGGAGGTCTGAGCATGACTTGCCAAAAATCATTTTTTATTAACATCATAGTGATAATTTTTTAATTTGCTGTAAGCCTTCTACTAAAAATTGAAAGTAATGCGGCCCATTCAGATGTACAGGTAGAAAATGCGGCCCAATTAAACGATCTCCATATACTCCTGCCCATAATACATCGACACCGAATCTCCTATGAAAGCTAAACCGACAAGTAGTGTGCTGGTTTTCATCTGACCAAATGTGACTATTATGGCTGCAAAGAAATTAGCTCTGTTTCACTTTAAATAAAATTTAAAATTGAAATTACAAAACCCCAAGAGTTCAAATAATTTAAATTTCATATCATAACCATTTCAATTTCATTACAGAAATAATGACATAAAAAACCAACACTCACTAGATAAATTATAAAGAGAGGGTGAAATGTATGTGGTATTTAAATATTGACTGTAAGTAATAGAAAATAAAAATACAATCGAACGGAGACAAATAAACAACTCGGTACGTATTTCCGACCTAGGTCAACCTGTGTCGAGGTCAATAACCTTCTAATTTGCACGTGTGCACTTTAGTAGGATCGTATTCCATGCAAAGTAGAGCAAAAAGTTGTCAGTCTTTTATCAAAGGAAAATCGTGTCATCAATGAATAGGAATGATTGTTTTCGAATGTACAATTATTATAATTTATCATTTTTAATATTATTAATGTTTTCACGTTTTATAATTTATTATGTTAAATAATACAAAGTTTTAGTATTTCAGTTTATTATTCAATATGCAGTTGCGTATAACCAAAGTTTACATAATAAATGTAAACTTTAGTGTAAATCTAAACTTTGGTGTAACCTAGGTAGGCACTTATTGTTTTTGAGAAAGCAATACTTATGTTTTTGTTTTATATCATCCTTCCAGAGCACTTTGTTAATAAAGTTCTGCTGCACTTAGGAACCAATTGCAAAATTCAAGACGATTGGGGAAATCAGCTGTTTCTAAAGCTTGAACTTTTTGAAAATGTGTTATATTAACTCCTTTGCGGGAAAAATGCGGGAGATATGGACGGTGGTAGATTTGAATAAACGCTTTAAATTGTTAATGGTTTTGTAACCGTGTGTAGTGTATTTTGTATATTCGGGTATTTAGTGTGCCGACTTTTTTTATTTGATAAAATACAGTGTGCCTACAAACCTCTGCTTTATTTATTTTCTTTTAACGAAAGTTGACTTCAAGAAGTCGGGCTTGTTAAAACATTTTGCACTAAATTATTAAAATTAGTTATAATAAAATGTAGCATGATCCTTTATTTACTTGCATTTTATTGGTTCCATACATATGTATCCGTATACTAAAGCGGATTAATTAAATGTGAACACAGATTATGATGTGAACTTGGCAACGCTGTTCGCTTCAGCTGACAATTTGTTCATGACATTACGTTACAAAATTTTCCGAGCATCTGGCAGGGCCGCCTTCTTAGCAGGAGTTATGGGTTGATTTCCTTCATTTTTAAAAGTCGAGTAAAAAATTTTTTTTCCGATTTTCTGTCTTTATTAAGCCTTCCGAATACGTGATTAAAATTAATGACATTATGACTGAATCACCCTGTATATTAGATTTGTATTGAAATTATGTAATTATGATAACAAATAATTATGAGAAAACCTTAGAATTACAAAAACTTACTTTTACTACACAGGGTGTCACTTAACGAATGTTACATACTTCAAGGGTATGATCTAGAACCCAAATGGTGTCGATTTAAGGGGGCAAACCACTCTAAAAACTGAAAAACAGAAAATTTCGGGATTGTTTTTCAAGCTGTAAACAACAAAATGGCGGCTTCTCAGTATTTTTCTTTGGTTCGGCCAAGCAGCAACAACTTTCAAATTTAGAGGTACAATCATGAGCCAAGATAATTTTGATTTAATATGGTATTAACTACAACAGTACTTAGGACTTTTTTTTTTAAATTGATTTTGAAAAGAAGAGTTTGTAAACCCAGAAGGGCAAGAGATGAAGAACATTCGATAAAGATGTTAAATAGCCTCTAGATCTCTGGATATCACTTCTATAGATTTCCATCTTTGGCCATACCTAAAATCACCTTTGAATGATATTGACGACCTTAAAAACAGAATAAGCGTAGATTGTCGGAGATTAAATGAAGAAACACTAGAATGTGATTGTAGAGAGGGAGTGATAAACAGAGCTATTCTGTGTTTGGAAGCAAATGGAGGTCATTTTGAACATTTGAAATAAGTATTGTTTTAAATTGTTATATTATGGTATTAATAATAAAATATGTTACTTTAAAAAACATAGTAACTTGTTTCCGCAGCTGGCTATCATTTTTCAGAATAAAGCTACGAAAAGTAGGATTCATCTTTTTTACTGTTTTTTTAGCAATATTTCTAATGAAACTATACAGGGCGTCAAAAAAAGAGTGTAAAATATTTCAGGAGGTAATAGTATGAACCAAAATAAGCAGAAAAGTCTCAATAAACATTGGTCCACAAAGTAACGGTTGCGGAGATATGGACCACTATTCGTTTTTCAAACATTTTATTTTATTAGGAATAAACCGACAAAGGAAGCTTTTAACAAACAAAAAACAAAGTTACAGAAGATGTTCAAAGTGCCCTCCGTCCATTTCCAAGCAGGCACGACATCTTCGTCTCAACGATATTCGAACTCTTTCGAAAACACCCTCCTTGGTTTGGATTTCTTGACACTTTTGATTAATCCGTAGCTGCAGCTCTTCCAGGCTATTTACAGGAGTACCATACACTAATGTCTTCAAATATCCCCAAACAAAGAAATCTAGAGGGTTCAGATCAGGCGATCTTGGAGGCCATAAAACAGGTCCGGCCCTTCCTACCCATCTATGTGGAAAAGTTTGGTGTAAATGCTCTCTAACGGCCATGGAAAAATGAGCTGGAGCACCATCATGCTGGAACCACATTTGTTGCCTCTGATTCAAAGGAATGTCTTCCAAAAACTCATACAGTGTGTTCTGCAGAAAGTTGAGGTAAGCAGCGCCTGTTAATCGGTTTGGTAAAACAACAGGACCTAGAAACCTGTCACCTACAATACCCATCCAAATGTTTAATGAAAAACGTGCCTGATGTCCAGATTCTATTAGAGCATGAGGATTTTCGTCGGCCCAAATATGCGTATTGTGAAAATTAAACACTCCATTTCTTGTGAACCCGGCCTCATCAGTAAAAAGAATGTTTGCAAGAAAACGAGGGTCTTCAGCATCATGACGTAGAAACCAGCGGCAAAAAACCAAACGTGCTTGATGATCATTTATTGGATTTAAGGCCTGTACTCGTTGCACATGGTATGGATAAAGCAGTTGCTCGTGAAGGATTCTCCAAACAAGAGGACCACTAATTCCTACCTCGGCTGATATTCTCCGCACACTCGTACCTGGATTCTGCTCTACCAGTGCTAGAATTTCTTCTTCTGCTCTAGGAGTGGATACCGACCTTGGTCTTCCGGATAAATGGCACTGTTTGCTCAAGGAACCGGTATCACGCAATCTTTGGTGAATTCTTCCAAACATGCGTTGTGAAGGAATCTGGCGATTTGGATAAGCGTCAACATAAAGACGTCGCGCTTCGGTGGCGTTCCCATTAGCACGACCATACATGAAATGCATGTCTGTTAATTCTGCGTTAGAGTAACCAGCCATAGCGAAAGAAAACTTGTGCACTGAGAACAACTGTCAAATACGTACTGTTTATTTCACTAAACATCAACCAACTATTATAAGAAAATACACAACGTTTTTGCAAAATAAAAAAAGGGGCTAAAAAACATAAAACATTCCATATCTCCGCAACCGTTACTTTGCGGACCCATGTTTATTGAGACTTTTCTGCTTATTTTGGTTCATACTATTACCTCCTTAAATATTTTACACTCTTTTTTTAACACCCTGTAGACTTCCTTACATAGCTGACCATAGAAAAAATATATCTTCCAGAATTGATAAAAAAATATATAGTGTGCTATTTAAACAAAAACAGTTAGTCGACTATAGCAATTTTGACATATGTTACCATGGAGACGATCTAATAATGTCATTTGATAGAGTTTGAGCGGTGATTTAAAAATATATAGGGTTTGTTAGAGCTATTTGTAAAAATAAAAGAGATACAGGGCCGCGAATACCAAACTGAATCACCCGGTATACCTTCAGTATCACGTGGAGAACAGGTGCTCCAATTCTTGATACCAACAGCACCTTGATTGTGCGCGCATAGAGCAACAAAAGAGGCTGTGCTGCATTTAAAATTGGAGCACATTTGTCGTCTAGTATTAATGGCTATTTCTTCGAGATCTCCAGGAAGTTCTTGCCGAAGTAATTCCAATTAATCTTGGAATATTAACTGGAGAAATCGTTCACAAAATGTTAATCTCAGCGGGCAGTCTGGTTCAAGCAAATTTTGTACGGGGTGAAAATGGAAACAGTGTAACTGCTAGTGTAACTGTTGCATGTGGAGTATAGTTGAAACGGTTTTGCAGCCAACTCTTGTGACTGCTGACTATCGATGGATACTAATTGTGAGATTTTCTTCTACTCTTTTTAGAATTTGTTCTTTGTCTTGTACCCTTCTTTGAATGTACCTTCCATTTCCTGAATTAGACCGAAAGTTTCCAGTTTCTTCTAATCTGGTGAATAAAGAAGCAAACAATGTATGAGAAGGCTGTCTGCGATTCAGATAAAGTTCTTCATATAGTTTCTTAGCAGCGCGTCCTCTAAAATGTTCCTGTACATACACCACTATCACGTCTCATTTCATAATTCGTAAATTCATTGTGATCAGGCATTTTTAGAAACAAACTTTTGCAAAATACAACCTTGACAGTGACTTATCGAAATTGTCATGTTATGAATTCATAGTTATTTCCAAAAGATATGGTGTATGTGTTCGTAAATACAGCGTGATAAAAAAGTTCTGCATAAAATTCATATTTTCGTTAAACAATTTTTTTTTCGAAAAACGGTGAGACCCGTCGATTTTTATTTGATCCAGGGCACCTTATTATGTGGAAAAATTTTTTTTTTTTCGTTCCAAATTGATGACAGTGATAATTATCTAAACAACGGTGTGAAAATTTTGATGACTTACATAACAATTTTTTTTAGAAAAATACACCTTAAATTCTTATAAGTGATAATTGTCTACTTACACTATTAATGGCTCCGAAAAGGACAAAGTTGACAAAATTACATTTCAAACGAGTAAAATTACACTAATGTTTGTGTAAGTCTAGCAAAATTGTTCGAATTGCCCACCCTGTACCATTTGGCATTGTCCTAAGCGTATAAACGCCGTCTACACTTTGTTCAAGCATTCCCGGGTCGTTTTGATTTACGTTTACTGGCCGGTGGATCGGGCGACGCGGAACAATTGAGTGGCCTCCGCGTTCGCCTGATTGAACACCTTTAGACTTTTTTTTGTGGGGCTATTTGAAATCGCGTGTGTACACAAAACAGACCAGGTGATTTGGAAGAACTTAAAAACCGTATTCGTTTTGAAATAAATCAAATCGACCCGGGAATGCTTAAACGAAGTGTAGACGGCGTTTACACACGCTTAGGACAATGCCAAATGGTATAGGGTGGGCAATTCGAACAATTTCGCTAGACTTACACAAACATTAGTGTAATTTTACTCGTTTGAAATGTAATTTTATGCAGAACTTTTTTACCACGCTGTATACTTTCTGTAATATCTTAACTGAGCATAATTTTGAATTTTGATAGGTATATATTTTTTGTGTAGAATAAAATTCTCAACATACTTCTGATAGTTGCGTGCAAAAATTTAAAGGTACAAAAAAGTTACAGAAGAATATTCACAAAAGGTTGTAGTAAAATGAACGCTCTGTATGATTTAACCTAATAGAAATATAATCACTACATACTTCATGAAGAGAAACAAAGCAACAGCAAATTTTGCTCAAATCGGTTAACTGAGTGAAGGAGAAAACGACAAATAAAAAAGTAACTTTAACGCCCTGTAACTTTTTTTGTGACACATTTTGTTTAAGTTAAATCAGCACCATTTGGGTTCTAGACTATACCCTTGAAGTATGTAACATTCCTTATGTGACACCCTATAGAGAAACTTGGAAAAAAACTTAATCTTAATTTGGCCTCGAAAATCTGTAATAGTTGCATGTACAGAGAATATTGGAACATCCCTTATAAATCAGTGACTATATGGATCTTACTTATAGAAAGTGACGCACCTAATAACCTCTCCACTTACGATATAGAAGACGTAAAAGAAAGTGTTAGGCAAGGCGTTACCAAGGTTGCTGGAAAATTAGGTTCACTAGCAAATGGTTTAATGTCATCGATACAGGTAATTTTCTGAATTGTATATACCTCACGGTCGAAATTATAGAGAGCTCTCGGTTTGGGGGGTCGAAACTCCATAGGCATATCTGCTTAGAAGGCAACAAGCGATAGAAAATATATGGAAAAAATGTAACAAAACATAACATCTATTATTTTTAGAGGTTTTATCAAGAAATATTTTAGCAACATTTTGTTTTTAAATTTTAAGTGTTTTCTATAAAACGATGCCCTCTTGGACGATGATCCTCCACCACCTAAATTACACCTCCGCAAGATAACGTAACATTGACTGTTAATATACAGTAAAACCGTGCCATTCGCTGGGAACAGGTTCCAGAAAATTCCCGTGAAGCGCAAATTCGCGATGTGCAAGTCATTATGTTAGTGTTTAAAACAGAATTATCAGAAACATAATTCAGTTATTTATATATTTATTAGGGTGGCCCAAAAAAAACTAATATTTTTTTCGTGTCTCTTGTGAAAATATGTTAGTTATTCATGTTTTAACAGCCTGCTCAAAAAATCAGCTCAAAAAAAATTTTTTTAGAGGTCGCACAAGATTTTTAAAAATTTCCAAAATTGTCAAAAATTGATTTTAAAAAAAAAAAAAAATTTTTTCTCGTTATTTTATCATTTTCTAGGATGAAAAAAATCTCGACTGAAAATTTCAAATCGAAATTTAATTTCTAAAGTTCACTCATAATCACTCATAATTCAAAGTAGCGTACCTATGCGTTCGAGCGATCTCTAAAAATAAATATCAACGGACTAATAATTTTTTTTATTGAATTTGATGAACAAAAGAATAGAAATAAATCACGATACTTAAATTTTAAAAAATAAAAAAATTATAAATATTTGATACAGTGCGGTAGTAAATTTTGCCTCGAGATATTTTTTAACCGACCTTTAGAAATTACAATATCCATTTGAAATTTTCAGAATCGAGATTTTTTTCATCCTAGAAAATGATAAAATAACGAGAAAAAAAATTTAAACAAAAATTTAATTTTTGATGATTTTGGTAATTAAAAAAATCTTGACCTCTAAAAAATTGTTTTTGAGCTGATTTCTTGAGGGGGCTCTTAGAACATGATAAACTAACATATTTATGTATATTTATTCTGAAGCAAAATCAAAGATACCTATTACATTTTTGTGTTCCTGCATGCGTATGAAATTGACAAAAAAACCTTTTGTTTGATTACATGTCTTTCAGGCAGGAATACATTGAGCGATCTACATATAACTACAAGGTTAGCATACATTGAATCGATTTTAAAACATAAAGCTATCGAGTTTTTGGAAATGGGGCCTCAAAAAACTCTTTTTTTTTTAATATTTTCGAAACGGGTTGAAGGAAAATTAGGAATTTTGACACCATGAACGCTCATTAAAAGTCACAAAATCATAAAATTCTTCAAAAATTTTAGAGACGTCTCAACTGGGAGAGGTTTTTTTTCTTGCTGAAATTTTCAAATTTAGAAGCCTAGAACATGTGATAGACCTTGATATCCTCTACAAAAAAGGTACTTTTTATTTCTTAGTAAAGTTTGTTACTTTTTCATAGAAAACTGAGATCAATCAATGTACTGTTCATTTTAAATTTTATATGCTTTATCTTTATAAGTAATAGTGTTTTTTATGTTATGTCTTGAGTCACTCTCTATAATTTCGACCGCAAAGTATGGAATAGAAATTTAAAAATTTTACACCTAATAAATTGTGCATTATCAACAAATTTTCGCAATTGACTATTTGTGGTACTATTTTGCACGTTATTCCTTTGCCAATAAAATCAATTTATTGGCAAAGCATAAAATTGACAACTTTTTGTATAAAAATACAGACTCTCTAGGTAGCTACTTATTTGTGATAAGTTTTTAATAAACATTTGATTTTAATTAAAAGTGCATATTGAGATAAGAAATATATTTAATTAATTCATAATGATTTTTTAATATTAAACAGTATATTAGTCTTTATGGATTCTACAGTATCAAATAAAAAGAAATGTCAAAATTGTGGACGGTACTAGCAATCAAAAATTAAAAGAAGTAAATAAAAATGTCAAAATTGGTTAATAAATTTCTTGTTATTTACTAAAGCTAGAAATTTTCCAATAAATTTTGTTTTACACTAATTTATATAAAATAATTGTTACTTTTTTTATGTTGACTAAAAATTACACTAATATAAATTTATTTTGAGCCTAAAGAATATAGAAAGAATACATTTTTAATTCGATTATGCAGTGCCTTCATAAATGTCTGAGTCCCACGTGACCGCGACACACTGGAGAAGAATGATTAACACAAAATTCCCTAAAGACAGAAAATGAGTCCAGTGGAGTACATATTATAATTCTTTACAAACGTTGAATTTTAATTTGCAAATTGTTGTCATTTTAAAATATAGGATCTTTTGTAATCCACTTATCATATATAGATATGTATAGATATATGATATAGATATCATATCAGAGTTAATGGAAATATTGTTAATAAAATTGTTTTGTTTTTATAATAAATGTCACTTAATTTTTTTTTTTTGTTTCAGGATCGATATGGTTATTAATATATTCATTAGGAATTAAAAACATGTCCTCTAACTCCTACAAATTATTACATATTCTGTACCAATATATTTGTTATAAATATAATGTGCCTTGGCTATTTTTATATTATTTAATAGAAACTACAACAAATTACAATAACAATAATTGTCTGTTGTGGATGTACGACAAAAAATATTTTTGTTTTGCGCTTCAGTTTTTATGGATTTTGTAAAGAATAAGTGGCAGCATCATTTCAAGTGTTGCAGAGACCAGCTGCCTAAAATAGTTACATTGAAAAATAAAATAATACGCTAAATTACATTAATTATTATTATTTCTAATTTATAATTGAAATTTCAAATAAATAGGTATCCAGTCATTAATTATATTTAAAGTTAAAATTGTTATTGTCTGTAATTTTTTACTAGTGGCATATTTTTAATACTTTATTTATTTAAAAAATAATTACTTTTATTTTATGAATTTAATTATAAAACTTTTCTTACTCTTGTTATTTTTCAAAAATTGTCAGATTAAAAGATCCTGTAACATTTTAATGGTGCATCATCCCTTATCAACCCTTTAAAATGCCTCAATTTAACTGTCGATTTATTATCTTGGTACACTCACAGTGTATCAAATTCAGTTTTTTTAAATTCAGGTACCTGTATCTGAGATATTGATTTTTTTCGAAATTTGAAACCCCACTTTCAAGACTCATAACATTTCTGATGTGCAGCTTAGTACAAAAGTAAGTTGCGTTATCATCATATTTTAGGTTCCCCTACTCTGCCCCCTCTGCTCTGTGTCGGTTCTTATGTGAAACACCCTGTATATTTGAAAACTAAAGTCCGAGATAATTATCTGGATAAGTTTGTGTTCCCGCCATGGGTAAATATAAATATGTACATATAGCCTTGATTGGCCATCTTATAATGGCCGCCATTTTGATACATGTAAAAATCGGCACAGTTATATTCATGTAAATTGTAAACAAACATACAAAACAGTATAGATTTAAACATTTGTCTGTCTGATCCAACGAGATTCTCTGTTGGAGATAAATTTAAGCATGTACTATTTATTTCCTAAATTTCGATTAATTCACCTTATTCCAAACCCTTTCAGAGCTGATCAAAACCTGTAAGATAAAAGTAGTCACATATTGACAATTTCGAGGTTTTTTCATAGTACTAGACACGTTTAACTGTATTATTACTAAATTATTAATAATACTACATTACTATACAAATACTATTTCTTAAGGGAGCGGAAAATTCCACAACTTAAATGAAAATTTGTTGTGTCCTTTAAAAAAAGGCCCCAAAAAATACCAAATACTTATATATTTTATAGCATTTTACTGTTAACAAAATCATCAGAAAAATAAATAAATTTCTTAACACCTTTAAGAATTTTCGATATATAGAATATGGTCTAAGTAATAATGGTTTAATTGTATTTATTTAATAATAAAACATCCACTTAACTAAACTGTACGTATACTCATAAGATACGACTCTAAATTTGTAAACTGGAATGTATGCAAATAATCCAAGTACAAGAACTTCAGCCGAGTTTCCACTGGTTGGTATCTACATAGTAGTGATGTAACGAATGCCAGTTTTTAAGCATTCGCGAATGCGAATGCGAACATCTGTCGTTGACATTCGCGAATGCGAATACGAATATTCAGTTTTTAAATCTAGTGCCGTTTATCTATGATTCAAAATATGCCGCGCGCGACGCACATAATATTTCCGGTGACAGCGGCGCTAAAGGCTAAAGAAATTAGCGTTGTTAAGTTGGTAGAACGGTATTTTTGTATGTTGGAATTTTGTTTTGTTTTCGCTACCGACTCGGAACTCAGATGAGTTTGTGAATTGTGAGGTTAGACTGTTGTTAGTTATTTCTTAACATGAGTAAATCAACTTGATTATAGAAATGTCGTATTCTTTGATCGGAATTGCCTAATATTTGAGAATTATTGGGAGAATCAGCAACATGGGTTCGTTGCGAAGACGTCGAAGCAGAACTTCGAGCCCCACGTTGAGAGTCATGTCGTGTAATATTATCGGAAAGTTGTGTTTGGTCGACATGGGTCCTTGGTGGAGACATCGGGAGTTCTAATCGAGCTCCACGTCGGGCGCCATGTCGCGGATCTGTGATCTGGGATGTCGGTTCCCTTGACTGGGGTCCGCGATAGTTATGTACGGAGTTCTAATGGATCGTCACTAGGGACTCCAGGTCGCAGGATATTCTCAAACGACTGTTGTATGTGGTGGATATGGCCTACAGACGTGGTGTCTAGGACACGAGCTCGCGGGGGAGATCTCGACGAAGAATGTGGAGCCCCACGTTGAGCGCCGTATCGGGTTAGACTTTCTAAATATGGACCACTTAGGCGGTGATCGTATGTTCGGGGGAAATCATGAGTGGACGGACGATGTACCAGCATTGCTTTGATAAAAAGAGCCGGCTACGTCACCTACGACATAGTCGGCTAAGGGGTTTTCGCTTACCATGGCACCCGAACGAGATGCGCATTGCTCCCACAGGGTACCATTTCGTGAAAAAGCTGACTGTACTGTAGCGCCCTCGCCAACGGCTTCACGTTCCGGAATACCCGATATCGGAAGTAGGCCGCTATCGGGGCCGGACCGCGAACCGTGGTTGGGCTCATGGGATTCCCCGGACCCTACCAGTTGGTACGTAGGTATAACCTCGTCCCGAGTATCTGTGGGTGATCCACTTCGTTGTAACTCATGAGTGCTACTCGGCTCCGTGAGTGCGCCGTGAGGGGTGGTCGAGGTGGTATCAGTAACCCGCGTAGCAGCGGACCTCAACGCGTACGGTGCTGTGGCTGCGTCGTGCCGCGTACTTCCGCGAGCTACCACCTTCGCTCCCTCAGACTCTTCACGCAACATCGAGATAGCGTTGGGGAAGTAGGCCATTTCCTCTTTCACCCGGTGTGTCGAGAGATCTTTCGCCGGCAAACAGGTGTGAGGGCAGTCCGTGTAACCGCTGGTCTCTCCGATTTGGGACGAGGTCTCGTCCAGCTCAGTCTTGATCAAAGAATCACGATCTGATTTATTATTTGTTATACCTTCGAGGGCACCAATCCTCGTAGCACTGGATATCGAAGTCGCGTTGCAGGGATACATCTTACCCCGTACGACAATGTCGGAGCAAGCTCTTTTGCTCCGAAAGTCTTGTAGACGTCTGGTAGAAAACACTGACTCTACTATTAAAAGTGGGTCTCTCGAGGGAGCCCTAGAAGCAAGGACAACTTATACTAAATTTGGAAGTACGCCGCCACAATAACGTGCGTACTATTGCTTTGTGCCCGTGGGTCACAAAGCAAATGCCTCGTAGAGTGACCGCCTAGAGGTTTGACGAGGAAAGTTGCCTCGGATTTGCAGATCTCGATTGAGTCTGAATGATAGGACTCGTAGGAGCTTATGTATGTACTCTGTACCGAGGTGCGGGTCTCTCGATGGAGCCGGCACGATCGGAATCACAGTCTTCGTCGGAGGTCCTCAGGTTGGGCTACCTCGTTCGGTACGCAGATCTCTGGAGGAGCCTGGGGTATTGCTGTGTCGATGCAGGAGGCTATCGCACAGGATCTTCGCCTCAGGTTGGGCTACCTCGTTCGGTACGCAGATCTCTGGAGGAGCCTGGGGTATTGCTGTGTCGATGCAGGAGGCTATCGCACAGGATCTTCGTTGGAGGTGGTCAATCTCGGACGGTATCGCAGGTCTCAAAAAGGATCCTGGAATTTACCGCTGTTTCGATGCAGGGGGCTATCGAACAGGGTCTTCACCTCAGGCTAGGCTACCTCGGGTGGTATGTCTCGTGAAGCGAGTAGTGGTTGCTAGGCACTATAAATATCACGTCGAGGAATGGCAGCCTCAACGGGAGCCTCGTGAAGCGAGCCTGTGAGCTGAGCTCCAAAGTTCTTGAGCTTGATGACAGGATTTTTTCAATCAAACCGTGGAAGATATGTTAAAAGTATATATTGAATAGAATAAACAGACAATAAAGATTCACAATTAACATATACAAGACTTTTACCATAGATATTGTTTGTTACAATGTTGCTCTTTACATCGTTCTTCGCACCATGTACTCCCACTGTAATACTGCGAACGCCGGGAGTCGACGTTCGTTCGCTTTTCGGTGATCTCCATACTTTTGGCGGACCGGTCGTGAATTGTCCGCCAAAATTTTCAGTGAAAAGCGCCCGTCGTCGCTGTCGACGTCGGATTTCGTTCCCCTCTGGCCTCTCCGGATAGTCGATGTCGGCGTCGGGGATTTTGGAGTTTTTTCCCATTTTGCGAAAAACTACCCGCGGTTTCAACTTAGGCTACCGAGCATTGCTAGGCACTAAAAATATTCGCGTTGAGGAATAGCAGCCTCAACGGAAGCCTCGTTAAGTGAACCTGTGAGCTTGAGCTGCAAAAGTTCTTAAGTTTGATGACAGTTTTTTTTCAATCAAACCGCGGAAGATATGTTAAAAGTATATATTGAAAAGAATTAACAGACAATAAAGATTCACAATTAACATATACATGTTATTTACCATGAATAAGATTTGTTACAATTCGCTCTGTATCGCTTTCTTTGAACCATGTACTCCCACTTAAGAACTGCAAACGCCGGAAGTTGACGTTCGTTCGCTTTTTTCCAATCTCCATACTTTTGGCGGACCGCTCGTGAATTGTCCGCCAAAATTTCCAGTAAAAAGCGCCCGTCGTCACTGTCAACGTCGGATCTCGTTCACCTCTGGCCTCTCCGGATAGTCGATGTCGGCGTCGGGGATTTTGGAGTTTTCTCCCATTTTGAGAAAACTCTACCCGCGGTCTCGGCTTAGGCTACCGAGAATCGCAATCAACCGCCAGAGCGGTGGGACCCTCGGAAGGCGGTCCTTTCGGCCCAAAGACGGGGAAATTGGAAACATCGGTGAAATTTCCCCCGACTTCGTAAAAGGGCCTACGGAGGTCTTAATACTGGATGGATTGATTTGAGAAGTGGTGCGTAGATGCACGGCATGAAGTAGTGCCGTGGTTGGAGGGTTCGGCCGAGATCGCGCGGACACCTTCGGCAGCAGCTATGAAG